GTGTTGTTATATTTTTTATTTTGTCTATTATGTTTTTTAATAATATTTAATTTTTCAATATGTCATTTAATCAAAAATTTTCTCTTAAATTGATAAAATTATAATAACTTTTGGAGAAAAAAATGAGGTTTACATATTTATGATGGAGGAAAATGTTATAGGAATAGTTATTTTTTATAAATGTTATAGTTGAGAAAAATATTGCAGTTCTTATATATATATATATATATATATATATAAACTTAGTAAATTTGTTTTATTACATACAATTACTAAATTAAACATTTTTGTACAAAAATAACATAATTTTGTCTCACGTTGTACACACTATATTTTTGTAAGCTCATTTGTTTAAACGAAAAAAAAATTAAAAAAATCATAATAAAAAAAAGCCAATCTATAATCAATAGAAGCCCAACCTTATGAAGTCCGAAATGAAAATCTTTATACATAAAAGATTCCCTAATTTTATTAGGGTTTGCTAGTCCAATTCATTTTTTCTTTAGAAAATAGACAAATCATTCATAATGATAAAAATAATAGAATAATACTCATATATTTTTTTACGATAATTAAAGAAAATATAACTAGAGTATTAAGGTATTTGTAGATGTTTAAGAGATATTTAATTCTTAAATTAAAATAATAATAAGAGTATTTTCCAAATAAAGTGTGTCTTTAATTCTGGTTGAATTTTTAATCGTTTCTTTTAATATCAGGGTCAGGTCTCGAAATTGTATTTTATATATATATATATATATAATATAAAATATCTGTACTTAAATCAAAATAATGTTTGCCTTTAAGTTCTTGAATTCAAAATAGGCTTAGCCCACTAACTACCAATCACATGGGTATGCAAGCCCATTTTTATAAGCTGAAATTCCAGCCCATAAACAAGAGTCTTCTCAATTGCAATTTGGTTCTTCGTTGAAAAACCATTCAAATTTCCTGTGATCTAAAAATATCGTTCTTTTTTCTTTTTCTTCAAATTTTTGGTACTTAAAACAAAGTTATTGATAAAAAAAAAATCAATCAATTGTAATTTTTTTATTTATATTCTTTAATACATGTTTTTCTATTATATTCTAATTAAAAATAAATCAATCAATCGTAATTTTTTTATTTATATCCTTTAATATACTCATCCATTAAATATTATTGTAAATTTACTATCACATTCAATGTACATGTATGGTGTTTTATTTATGAATTAGCGTAAATGTCCTTTCAAGAATATGTAAAAAGAAAAGAATATGAGAAAAGTATGATAAAATAAACATATCGTAAAATATAGATGAACTAGTGATTCATAATCGAAGAGTTTAACTATCAAAAAAATATAAAGATAAATATATTTATTTGTTTTTATATGACATCTAAAATCTTGTATCTGTTTTTAAATTTTTCAATTACATTCTATTTTTTTTAAAATATTCAATCTGTTATTTCGATCAATTTTTTCGACTATAGAAAAAAATTAAACAAAATACTTCGATTAAAATTAAAAAAAAAATCTAATTTTTTTTTAAAAAATTGAACATGCAAATCATGTGACTCGAAGTTTTTTTTTTTTTATCAATTTTTTCTACTATAGAAAAAAAATTAATAAAAAAACTCCTGATTGAAATGAAAAAAAAATCTAAAAATTTTTAAAATTAAGCATATAGGTCATGTGACTTTAAGTGGTTTTTTTTTTTTTTTGATGTTTTAATAAAAGGTATTTCGATCAAAAGAGTTTGTCCATTGTCGAAAAAAAATTAATCAAAAAAATAAATTAAACATTTCAAAAAAAATTTAAATATAAATAAGATGTAATTAAAAATTTAAAAATAAACAAAAGATTTTAAGTATTACATAAAAATAAATATTTATGTTTATTCAAAACAAAATCATTGAATGATCAACACCAAAGAAACTATCAATCGTTAATCCAATAGAACAGCAAAGCAATCAGAGTACGTAAATTTGTCGTGTAAAATGTAAAGATGAGCAAAATTGCTACATTTCTTACAAGTTTCTGAGTTTTTCATTTTTTTGTCTTTTTTTCGTTTACAAAGAAAAGGTTTGAATTCCGAATATCTTATAGAAAGAAGATAATAATACCAATTAAGCTACGATTCTCTGACAAGTATACGTTACTGTGTAATAATTATTTGCCCAAGTCAAAACCTTCATCGAACCACTTTGTACTAAGAGGATCATTTTCGTAGACTGTCAAAATTTGAGGCTGCTGGATGAAGGACAGGGTCCTAGTTTCAAGATCAATTCTAAAGTTTCAGTCAAACACTCAATTAGCTAGCTTATGCATACTGTTTCTTTATGCATGTGACTATTTCTCTCTCATGGTTCTTCTCCATGTATATATATAGGCCCATTTCTAACATGGGAGGATCATAATTTCTGTTTACCGTAGATCACACTTTTGAAAGACAAGATATATTCCTTCTCATTCCTTACAAAATCGTAGTATCTTCAAAGAGATTATACTCCTAAACATTGGTTGATAGAGACAAGAAAATGGGTAGCCGATTGTGTTTCAATATTGTTGGGTTCTTGATGGTTGCATCAGTGGGTTTGCTGCTTCAAGGTGCAAATGCAGCTAATACATATATAGTTGGAGATGAATTGGGATGGGTTGTTCCTCCGAACAGCTCTTACTACGAGGAATGGGCCAACAGCAAGACATTTCAGAAAGGAGACTCATTAGGTAAGGATTTCTTGTTCCTTTTACGAGATTAATTAGTAATTACACTTTTACATATTGCATGCATGATATTATCATGCTGGTCCATATCTGCAACATGCCTAGTCCTATCAAGAGGTATCGTCAAATTCATTCTAAATTGATTAATTATTTAAAAGCATACATGCATGGTTTTTCCTCAAATTATTGTTTACTTCATGGCTAATCAAATGAAACGTGTTTTGGCTTTCAATTCTTTCAGTATTCAACTGGACAACCGGAACACATACTGCAACTCAAGTAAGTACCAAAGAGGAGTACGATAATTGCACAAAAATGGGAATAATATTGGTAGATCCTGGAGTTAAAGTCACTTTCAATGAAAATGGTACACACTACTTCCTCTGCTCTGAAGGAACACACTGTCAACAAGGCCAGAAGATGATTATCAAAATTGGAGATGGCATAGCACCAAGTTTTGCAGCTCCATCTCTTACAGTTGCCGCCGCCATATCTGCTGTTCTCATCTCCACCATAGTCACCTTCTTCTTAAATTAAATCTAAATGCACCCCCATCATGAAGTTTCCTGTTTCTTCTTCTTCTTCTTTTGTTGGTCCCTTAGCTTTAGAATTGTGTGAGGCCTAACTAGATTGTTGGTAATAAAAGATGTGGGGATGCAGAATATTTGTTGTAATTTATTTAAGTTGTTTCTGATATTGTAATGATTGGATTTGTTCTTTGTAATAAATAAGTCTTTGCAATTAATACAACCTTGGTTGGACCATGCATACTCCTGCCGGTCCTGTCATATATTAGGACCAAAACTCCTTCGGTTACCAGATGATAGTGGTTGTCCAAATCCAATGCTTCCACATGTAAATATAGTGGTTGTCTATACAATTTATAGCACTATAATCATCTGTTTCTTGATCTTTCTGTCAGGTTTTCTTTCTGCCTAATTTTCTGTTAGTTTAGTGCCATACAAAACATTTTATAGTGGATTTAAAACAATAGGTGAATTGATTTTAAGAAATCACTTTTAAATAGAAGTCTGCAGCAACAGGGAATGATAATTCAAGGAAGGGAACAAAGATTCAAGAGACACTAGGAAAGTTGAGGAACACTTTCATTCTTAACAATTCACATCAAACATTTGTTTAGCTGGATCATCAAATGTTAGGCATGTTTTTTATGGCTACGAGGAGAAAGCAGGATTCTGCAAGTCTAAAAAAGAAAGCCCAGAACATCAATATGACCGAAAAAATGAAATCATTATGAGACATAAATATTCAATGGTGTCTTGTCCCAACAAATTTCATATTAGATCATGATAAGTGGGGATCCTCTTTTCCAAATCCTTGCCCACCTGATGTTGTTCCTGGACCGTGATCTGTAGAATTTAAGACTTCTCTTCATAGTTTTCAGAACTACTGAAAACTGATCAAGCTATCTTCTTTTACCTTATTTTTATCGGAGAATGTTCTTGGGCAACAGTTGGGAGGGGTTGGTTGGACTTTTAGCTATTGCTGGACGAGGACTGGTGAAAGTAGTCATGCAGACACGACTGTTCAAATCAGAAGAAAGACCACCTGAAACTTTTAAACTATTGTTAAGGTTCTGAACTCGTTATCGATGTGGATAAATTAGTTTTGGCTAGTTGTCTATAAAATAAAATGCTTCTTGAGAGGACAATCTTTCTTTGCAACAAGTTTGACGTAGTTAAATGATCGACCAACCCATTCAATGGCATCGGTTTTTCCCATACCTCAAGGACTGGCACCTCCTTCAGATTAATTCTAGAAAGTAAAAGACAAGGATAAACCAGACCTAGTTCCCCTTTTATAAGGCTTGTCTAGGCTAGTAAATAAATTAAGTATAGGATAGTCAAGTGAGTCTCTCTAGTACCCTTTAAAGGATAGTTCAATTCTAAGGTAAGCTTTATCAGCCAGCCTTCTCTCATTTACCTTGTACAAGCCTACGGGTCGGTACATCGATTCATCGACAAAATAAGGGATCCTGCTCTCGAAGTCATGCGCAGTAGCAATACCAAACCAAATACGACAAGTATTGGGGTCCTGAGCTAAGCCTTGGCTAACCCTTGGAAATCTTAATGTCTTAATGCCTTTTTAAGTCCTCCTAGCCATTATCCTACTGCAATAATTCGTGCTAAGAAGAACGCCAATGCTGTGGTATTTCCTCCCAGAAGGTAATGAGTGACTCCTACAGCACGTCCTTGTATACCGAATAAGTCGGTAAGCCCCACCAATGCCTAAGATATCCACCAGCAGATTCTCTAAAGGAAGCATAGAAAGGTTACCTTTCAGCGATCTTCGAAAGAGAGTATGCTCTTCTTGATGCAAACGATGGGAATGAAGATATCAAGGTTTTGATAGTTGAAAAAGAAAGGACATATCTTGCGGGCTGCCCTCGTATCAAACAACGAGAAAGGTCTTTTTCTCTTTCTCTCTCGATACAATCCATCGCGTTGGCCCTAGCCAAGTTCTTTTTTATTATGTTATAATTGAGAAAAATATTGTAATTCTTATTTTTTATATATATATAAACTTAATAATTTTTTTTTATGAAAAAAGTCGTCGCATATATACAAATACTAAATTAAACATTTTTGTATAAAAATAACATAATTTTGTCTCACGCTATACATACTAAATTGTTGTAAGCTCATTTGTTTAAACGAACACAAAATTAAAAAAATAATAATAATAAAGAAAAAGGCCAATCTATAATAAATAGAAGCCCAACCTTATGAAGTCCGAAATGAAAGTCTTTATACATAGAAGATTCCCTAATTTTATTAGTCAAATTTTTTTTTTTTTTTTTTGAGAAAATAGACAAATCATTCATAATGATAAAATTAAAATTAATAGAATAATAATCATATTTTTTTCACGATAATTAAAGAAAACATAACTAGAGTATTAAGGTATTTGTAGATGTTTAAGAGATATTTAATTCTTGAATTATAATAATAATAAGAATATTTTTCAAATAAAGTGTGTCTTTAATTCTGGTTGAATTTTTAACCGTTGCTTCTATTCTTTCAATATCAGGGCCGGGTCTCGAAATTGTTTTTTTTATTATTATTATTAAAAAAATATCGGTACTTAAATCAAAATAATGTTTGCCTTAAGTTCTTGAATTCAAAATAGGCTTAGCCCACTAACTACCAATCGCATGGGTATGCGAGCCCATATTTGGTTCTTTGTTGAAAAACCATCCAAATTTCCTGTGATCTAAAAATATCGTTCTTTTTTTCTAAAAATTTTTGGTACTTAAAACAAAGTTATTGATTAAAAAAAATCAATCAATTGTAATTTTTTTATTTATATTCTATAATACATTTTTTTCTATTATATTCTATATTAAAAATAAATCAATCAATCGAAATTTTTTTATTTATATTCTTGAATATTCTCATCCATTAAATATTTCTGTAAATTTACTATCACATTCAATGTACATATATGGTGTTTTATTTATGAATTAGCGTAAATGTCCTTTCAAGAATATGTAAAAAGAAAAGAATATGAGAAAAGTTTGATAAAATAAACATATTGTAAAATATAGATGAACTAGCGAGTATTAATAAATAAATATAGTGCGCGCACATGCATATATACAATCTCAACGACTTAATCTCTGTTTAAATTTAAAATAATTCTACTATGCGTGATTCATAAATCACGAGTTTAACTATCAAAATATACAAAGATAAATATATTTATTTATTTTTATATAACATATAAAATCTTGTATATGTCCTTAAATTTTTCAATTACATCCCATCTGTTTTTGAAAATTTTTAAAATATTTAATCTATTATTTCAATCAATTTTTTCGATTATAAAAAAAAATTAAATAAAATAGTTCTTATTGAAATGAAAATAAAATCTAAAAATTTTTAAAATTAAACATACAGGTCATGTAACTTAAAATATTTTTTTAGATCAATTTTTTTATTATAAAAAAAATAATCAAAATACTCCTTATAAAATAAAAAAAAATCTAAAAACTTTTGAAATTGAACATGCAAGTAGTGTGAATTTAAGTTTATATATATATATATATATATGTATATATATATATATATATATATATATATATATAAATGAATTAAACATTTCAAAAAAATTTAAATATAGACGAAATATAATTAAAAAAATTTTAAAAAGCAAATATTATATAAAGATAGATCTGTATGTTTATTCAAAACAAAATCATTCAATGATCAACACCAACGAACTATCAAACGGTAATCCAGTCAATAGAACAGCAAAGCAATCAGAGTACGTAAATTTGTCGCGTAAAATGTAAAGACGAGCAAAATTGCTACATTTCTTACAAGTGTCCAACTTTTTTTGATTTTTCGTTTGCAAAGAACGGGTTGGAATTCCAAATATCTTAAAGAAAGAAAGATAGTAACAGCAATTAAGCTACGATTCTCTGACAATTATACGTTACTGTGTAATAATTCTCTGCCCAAGTCAAAACATTCATCGAACCACGTTGTACTAAGAGGGGTCATTTTCGTAGGCTGTCAAAATTTGAGGCTGCTGGATAAAAGGACAGGATCCTAGTTTTAAGGTAAATTCTAAAGTTTCAGTCAAACACTCAACAAGCTAGCTTATGCATACTGTTTCTTTATGCATGTGACTATTTCTCTCTCATGGTTCTTCTCCACAGATCCATTTCAACATGGGAGGATCATAATTTGTGTTTACCATAGATCACATTTTTCAAAGAACAAGATATATTCCTTCTCATTCCTTACAAAATCGTAGTATCTTCGAAGAGATTATACTCCTAAACATTGGTTGATAGAGACAAGAAAATGGCTAGCCGATTGTGTTTCAATACTGTTGGGTTCTTGATGGTTGCGTCAGTGGGTTTGCTGCTTCAAGGTGCAAATGCAGGTAATACATATATAGTTGGAGATGAATTGGGATGGGTTGTTCCTCCGAACAACTCTTACTATCAGGAATGGGCCAACAGCAAGACATTTCAGAAAGGAGACTCGTTAGGTAAGGATTTCTTGTTCCTTTTACGAGATTAATTAGTAATTACACTTTTACATATTGCATGCATGATATGATGATGTTCGTCCATATCTGCAACACGCCTAGTCCTATCAAGAGGTATTGTCCCATCTTGGAGCTTAATCCTTAGCTTATAAGTTTGGTGGTGGGTTTTGTCGTGAAAAAACGCCTCTTAAATAAAAAGATTGCAGCTTATAATTAAGCAAGCCAGATTTCTACAAATGATGCAACTTAGGCGTTGGTACTTGGTCCTTACTTACAAATTTTTTTAAATAAAGTCCCTAACAGTTTTAGAGTATTATGTTATTGTCATTCGGTGTTATATAAAGATCTTATTGTCTTTTTACATGAATAATGTTATTATATAATGTTGTTATTTGTCACTATATAACAGTGTAAAAAAAAATTACATTTACATTTTGCAATCTACTCACGTCATGTTATTATTATATTTAATTAATAAAAATGTTAAAAATATATAAATTGAAATAAATTTATTAATATCTATTAATATATTCATGACTTCAATTACCGCAACAATTATTTTATTATCGCGATCTATGATTGCGATTGTTTTTTCAACTACATTTGCAATGTAAAACTATAATTACAACGCACAATCCATTCTAAATTAATGATTCAAAAGCATACATGCATGGTTTTTCCTCAAATTATTGTTTACTTCATGACTAATCAAATGAAATGTGTTTTGGCTTTCAATTCTTTCAGTATTCAACTGGACAACCGGAACACATACTGCAACTGAAGTAAGTACCAAAGAGAAGTACGATAATTGCACAAAAATGGGAATAATATTGATAGATCCAGGATTTACAGTCACTTTCAATGAAAATGGTACACACTACTTCCTCTGCTCTGAAGGAACACACTGTCAACAAGGCCAGAAGATGATTATCAAAATTGGAGATGGCATAGCACCAAGTTTTGCAGCTCCATCTCTTACAGCGGCCGCCGCCATATCTGCTGTTCTCATCTCCACCATAGTCACCTTCTTCTTAAATTAAATCTAAATGCACCCCCATCATGAAGTTTCCTTTTTCTTCTTGTTTTTTTTTCTTTTCCCCTTAGCTTTAGAATTGTGTAGCCTAACTAGATTGTTGGTAATAAAAAGATGTGGGTATACAGAATATTTGTTGTAATTTATTTAAGTTGTTTTTGATTTTGTACTGATTGGATTTGTTCTTTGTAATAAATAAGTCCTTGCAATTAATACAACCTTGGTTGGACCATGCATACTCCTGCCCGTCCTGTCACATATTAGGACCAAAACTTATGACATAGACTCCTTCAGTTACCAGATATTAGTGGTTGTCCAAATCCAATGCTTCCACATGTAAATGTAGCGGTTGTCTATACAATTTACATCACCATAATCATCTGTTTCTTGATCTTTCTGTCAGATTTTCTTTCTGCCTAATTTTCTGTTTGTTTAGTGCCATAGAAAACATCTTATAGTGGATTTACAACAATAGGTGAACTGATTTTAAGAAATCACTTTTAAATATAAGTCTGCTGCAATAGAGAATAATAATTCAAGGAAGGGAACAGAGAGTCAAGAGACACCAGGAAAGTAAGGAACACTTTTATTTTTCAACATTTCACATCAAACATCTGTTTAGCTGGATCGTCAAATGTTAGGCATGTTTTTTATGGCTATGACGCGAAAGCAGGATTCTGCGAGTCTTAAAAAGAAGGCCCAGAAGATCAATATGACTGGAAAAATGAAATAATTATGAGACACAAATATTCAATGGTGTCTTATCCCAACAAATTCCATATTAGACCAGGATAAGTGGGGATCCTCTTTTCCAAATCCTTCCCCACCTGACGTTGTTCCTGGACCCTCATCTGCAGAATTTAAGACTTCTCTTCATCCTTTTCAGAACCACCGGAGAGAAAACTACTCAAGCTATCTTTTTTACCTTTTTTTTAATCCGAGAATGTTCTTGGGCAACAGGTTGGAGGGGTTCGTTGGACTTTTAGCTTAAGTAGTCACGCAGACACGACTGTTCAAATCAGATCATGACTGTTAATGCCCATCAAGTCATGATAGTTAATGTCCATCACGTCTTGAAGTAGTTACTTAGTCTAGCGGATTGAAAATTGTGCAAGGGAGGAGGAAAAGGGCAAAAAAGGTCGGTCCCCTGCCAAAAGAGAGAGGGAGTGGGGCTAATGAGTGGATCCCACATTTTTCCGCACCCAAAAGTATTCAAATGCAGAAAGATAGAAGTTGTAAGGAAAGGTGGTAAAAAGGAAATGGGTGGCTGGTGGCAGATTTAAATCAAATCGGTCAATTATAGAGACGTAAATGGAGTAATGGAGCCTGAAAACGTTCACTTAGTTTGAACCATCCATTTTATGCTCCATTTCCCTAATAATAACTTCAGTTTCAGTACAGTAGTTACTCATGCATGATAATCAGACATCCAACCCAATATGATAACAGGCAAAACCAAGAAGACATGCAAGGTTAGGTTTAAATTCAGATAGCACAACAATAGATTAAAGAATGTTTACAGGCATGAGTAATCAAATAGTATTTGCGTTCATGTGCCACAAATATGAAGAAGAACATAAACATTCTTGAAATTTATACTTGTCTACAAGAAATTGAGCTTATATCCACTGCTATAGAATGATTGCCAAGAGCATCATGCTATGAGGAATTCTACCATTCTTTCAAAAAAGATCTCAGCACCTACAATAAAAACAGAAGAAACTCCAAACAAGTTCTTTTCAGCTGATCAACATTAGATGTGCATGCTGAGGTAACAGGGTAACAGTTGAATTTCTTAGGCATGGAAAAGGGGAAAAAAAAAAGAAGAAGAAACAAACTAAAGAAACAGTAATAGACAAAATGGAGAAATTGGGAACAAGCGTTATCTCATTTCATGTTTGTCTTCTTTAAATCACATTGCTACCATTTCAATATCTGGGAAAGTCTCACAACCTGACCACAGTAGTTTCAAATTAAAATTTGTTGGAAGTTAATGACAAAGCTTAAATTTTTTTAGTACTGATGGGGAAAGCTGCATAATGCATGATGGTAAGTTGGTAACAGTTCGAGTAGGAAGTCAATCGCTGCTTTAACACCACCAACTGGTCATAGCCATTAAAACAAAAGATTTCAAGATTATTCTTCAAACCAGAATGAACGGAGCATGGCATTATTGGAAGCTCTATTAATCTTCTTCCATGAAACATTTATGACACGGAAAAGACCAAAATTATATCTTGATCACTCCGCCAATTCAAAGTGTAACTCCATTCCACTGTTAAACTCTCACCATAGGTACAGTAAAATCAAATGCTCAATTGAACAGCAAAGCAAACTTACTAACAACCTCCTATTTTTATGTCACCGCTCATTTAAAACCACAAAAAGTTATACTCCTATCTTCCAAGAGATCCCTGCTACAGAAACCATATAAAAGTAACCTCCCGAAGCATTTCCAAAAGTGATGAAGAAACACCAGAAAATATGCTTTTATACCCTTGCACATTCTCAGCATGTCGTCTTAGTAGTTACTACTTCGGTAATAGACTCTCTTTGTTAAGCCTACTATCAGAATCCTCTCCATAATATATCTTGCCCTCTTGAGTCACAACCAGTTAAATTCCAAAACCTTCTTTTGATATACAGAAAAGGAATAGAGGAGCATTATTCACATCATAGTCTTGCAAATACACCCAGGTGATATTGCCTTAGCTGACATCTGATAAGGTAAAATTGTATAAACAAAAATGGGGCACAAAAGCATCTTTCTCCAGACCAGTATCCCAATTCCCAACACAGAACAGACTTACCGCAACACAAAGCCTGAATCTATTTATTATTTTTTGATAGATCACTGCATAGAGCTTAAGAATAATGACCTACAGCTAACCCACAGTAACTGTTAGGTTCACTCCTGAATTAATCAACACACATACATAATCATTCAAGTACAAAACATTTGCCTAGAAACTGGAGAAGTTATTTCTTGCATGGTAGAGAAGCCATTCATGAAGAGGTCCCTCAATCTCATACCAGGACATTTCCATAGATTGGTTTCATTGTGGTTCAGTACATACTTTGTTTTCGTTTTTTTTTTCCCTTTTTATGTTTTTACGAATTAATTATTTTATTTTTTCAATTTTTAGTAAAGGTCTATGCGTGAAACACAATCTACTAATTAATTTGAATTGAGGTGCTGTCCTTATAAGTCTCAAGTTTCTAACATATCCTACTCCCACTGTGTAAATTACTTTCCTTTCTCAAAGCTGTCTCCTAAAATTTCTTTATTTTTTACGAATTCAAGATTATTCAATGTAAGGTGGAATGAATAAATGTGTGGTGCTAAACTGATCCCAGTAATATCTATTTGGATGCTGGAGGTGGCTTCATGTCTCAATTCCATGTCACTCACTGTATTAAAATTTAAATCAAACTAAGATTTCATTTACAATTCACCTTTTTACTAAATCCAAAGTTGCAATCTCGCTGCTAGCATGTAAATCTCTGTGATCCGAACTACATAGGAAAATGAGGTTACAAAAAGGATCGACCAGCATAATTCTAGCCATCTCAAATTTTAAAGCATATACACTACAATGGGAAAACAATGCCTACAAACCTGGCCCTTCTATTCGACCAATGAACTGGTTGGACTGCCAGCAAAAATGTCCATCCTCCGCATTGTCACAGAAGGGTGCCTTGCGCTTTCTGATGGTTGCCTCCAAATTCTGATCATCAACCTCTGAAACCCACTTAACCGAACAGGACTCAGAGGGATCCCTGGTACTTGTACCAGGAAAAAAACAGAATTCCTTGTTTCTTCGTTGAGAAAAAACACTAAATTTGTCTCTTTCTTGAGAGCTGCTCGAGCCAAAAATTTCATTTTCTTGAGCTTGATTTCTTTCTATGCTCAGGCAAGGGTCTGAGTATAGACCCAACCTTAACGATAAATCACATTGTGTGCCAGTTTGCTTGTCATGGGTATTCCTGAAATCTGCTTGTGTGATTCTCGTGGAACCAACTTCAGCACTGGAGCATGAGAAAACTGTCTGCAAGACACCCATATCCCTTCGTGCTGGAACCGATGCACCAATGGGTTTACCCATAAATATAGTGCTAGAGTTCGTGCTCGTCGGAACTTGAGAGACCATATCAGATGCTTCGATTTGATATTGATTTCCATAATACAAGGGATAAACTGAACCAAAGTTCTGATGCATGTCGGCTTCCCTGGTTGTCAGCTGATTACTGCCAGGAGGGATATTCTCATACAGTAAAGGGTAACTGTGAGCAACAACACTATTCTCAGCCAAACAATTATTAGAATCTGAAACCATAAGATTTTGATTCACAGTTGTGGTGGCTCTTGTAAAGTTCAATTGATTGATAGAGTGAACTGGCATTAACTGAGGGCCTTGTTCATCGTGAGTTCTATCTATCCCTCTAGGAGGTACAGATGCCGGTTCTTGCAATCTTGGGCTGAGGTAACTCCTGGGATTGCTGTGTCGCTGGCTTCTCGAAGCTCTCTCCACTTTACATCCCAAATTAAGGGCAGCTAAACAACATTTCAAAGAAGTATGCGTGATTCAACACCTCCGGTACAATTATTACAAACTCTATATAATTGCAAATTAAAACAAGCTTGAGTCACAATTTAAGCTTAGATCAATGCATGCTTTAAAACTCGGCATGCACAACCTACAATCTCAAATAAAATTGTTACGAGTAAATTGAAGTCTTAGACTTTGACATTATAAAAAAAAAAAAAAAAAAAAGTCTTGACTCTGAGAACCCAGAAACATAATTTCAAAGTTGGATCCAAGAATCATGAGCTTGCATAAAGAAATCAGTACCTTCAATACAAGGAGGCAAAAGATCTCCAGTCTCAGCATTCTCATCTCTCCTGATAATGGTGTTAATGGCATCATTTACTCTGTCCCATAAAGTATCTCGGTTCGTATAGTCAGCCTAAACAACAAAAACCATGTAATAATAAAAAACACAACATAAACCTAATAAAGATCCAACTATTTATAGACCAAAAGAACAAAAAAGTTCAATCATACCTCAGAGTTGGCTTTAGAGTACATGATTTCCTCAGCTTTGTAAACCACAAGAAGAATCTTATCTTGCCACTCCCTATTCCCTTTAGTTGCAGCACTGTGAGTGTCATAGGCCATCCTAATCAAAACACAAACTTTTACAATCACAAAATGCCTAAAAAGATTCAATCTTTATTCAAAATAAGCAAAAATAAGCAAGACCCAGAACCTTAAAATCTGTCCAATCATGGAACCTCTGATGGGTTTGTGCCTATCACTATGCCAAGCTCTTCTCACACACTCATAAGGCCTTGGCCCTGGCCTTGGCATCTTCCCTTGCTAAACCGCACCCTCACTCCCTCGCTCTAAAACACACACAAAACTAATACTACAACTCTATTAAAAAAACAAAGAAAACATAAAGAGAGAGAAAGAGCGAGGAAGATATTTGCGGGTTTTAAATAACGAGAGATGAGAGGACATTACATGGGCCAAGGTCACTTCAATTCTTTCAAATCAATTTCTCCAGTATGCCAAGGGGGCTCTCTTTTTTTGTTGGCTGGGGAGTAGCACGAAAGACTAGAGAGATAAAGAAAAAGAAAAGGAGTTGCTTTCCCATACTTCCCCTGCCCCTGCCCCAATAATTTTAAATAGATTACCAAATTTTATTTTTTCTTCACTGTGAAAGCTTTTTGGGTTTTGATATGTCATGCTCATTTCTTGGGAAAAAGGAAAAGCTGAAGAGTGGTTCCGATGTGGGTGGGTGTAAAAAGAGTTGGCATCGTCCACTAAAATCTATCTCCCTGTACTGGGTGCATGTATTACTCTAGGCTGCCCAAGTATGGGCACGAACAAAAATGACATCTTATCCTACACCATCCCCCAGAATCAAATCCTATGTAATCATGACAGTAAACTAGTTGTCATGGGATAGGAATTTAGTCAATTAGGTCAAGTAAAAGTTTTCTCTTTTGATTATTACTGTTTCAGATTTGAGAGTTGACCGTATCAGCTGCTGTCCGAAAAAAAAAAACATATATATATACATATATATTACATATCAACATTTTGTAAGAGAAGTAAAACAGAGACATCCTACACTTCTACTCTGTTTTGCAGGTGATTTTGCTTGGAAATAATGCACATATCTACTTTCAGTTAATCTCGTATCTTTTTCTTTAAATTTCAACATGTATTTTAATTTTTACCAATGTTAGAATAACAAATGGTGGGTCTCATGAATTTCACCCAGCGCTTATTATTTCTCATCTGCTGTGTACCATATGTTATAAAGCAGAAATGCTGTATATTCCTACATTTATGTTTGAGAAAGGCTTAACACTGCCTCTGACATGTCCCTGACAATGCATGGGTTCTCCCACTAACAAATGTCATATGCCCACTCTTGAAAATGGCCCTGCAGAAGTCAGCACTACACCTATGGACTCCTTTTATGGCACTTCAAAGTTCAAGGACCATTAATTTATTCTCCCCTGACAATGCAATGCTCTTGTCTTCCATGCTCAAATCCTGTGGGAAACGATCCAGTAGCTAGGGCAATAAGGGTCCTCCTACAACGATAATAAAAATTTCTTGAGGAGGGAACGAATATCACTGCTAATTTTGCTGTCTGCATGTGACATGGCCTACTGGAAGTACATTCTCCCCAAAATGTATAGTCTCTGAATCGATTAAAGTGGAATCTGGTTGTCGATAGTTTCATGTGACTAGCCAGATGTACAGGGCAATGAACCTCCATGACAGTTCATTGGAGATATTTTGTTAGGTTACACTTTGTAGGATTGTGACTTGTGAGTGAGATTATGAAAGAGATGGTACCGATGCCTTGCCAACTGTTATGGGTAGGTCACTGCCTAGTTTGTTCGTTTGTTTTTTTTTTCTTTTCCCACATCGATCGAACCTGCCGTTCGTATCAGCTGTCGAGCGTTAAGAAGTTATCTGTAATAATTAATAATTAGCAAAACAAGAAAAAAAATCGTACCATCACGACAAACTGAATTAATCACTGTTACAACAATAATAAATTATTTTTATCTTATTTTCTAATCAGTTTTTTTTTTAATTCGGATACTCTGAAAAAAATAAAATATTTGAATCCGTGATTTTTTATAAATACAAAAAGCTTGCTCGTTGTTACTAGACTAGAGGTCTATTGACCCTAGGGTTATTTTCATTGTATGTGTAGAAATGAAGGGATGAATTTCTTTGATTAGTACAATAATGCAAGTTTTATGGTTTAACTAAGCCTGTCAGTCGATCCTGGCTATGGGGCCATGGTATTAATGTAATTAGATATCATAAAAATTGAGAAATCAATGGACATGTTTTTAGATTATTTTATGTAAGTGATAATTTATCAAAAGCTTGTATGTCAAATTCGTACGGGCACTCTTCTCTCAAAAGATCTTAAACTCAAACCACTTTTTTTAAAAAAAAAAAAAATTACCAAAAGAATTGTGTATGGTCTTTCTTGTTAGAATTTTAAGCAAGCTATCCATACTAAAAAAAGATGTGCCCACGAAAAAGGAAAAAAAAAAAAAAAAACTTTCTCGTGACCTTATACGCAACATATATGCTAGAAGTTTTCTGGTTCAAGATTTCCTTCCACCAAAGAGGAAGGATGACCACCTCAGGTTAGAATCCAAGGTAAAAAGAGAATTAAGCGTACTAGTTCGTCCAAACCTAACCAAAGAGGAAAAGGACTGCAACAATCTATTACGTGAAAGCTGAGTATTTGCCAAAAAAAACAAAAGCGAGCAATTAATGTAGTTGGTCCACAAATCAACGCTTGATCAAATGTGCGACTCACTTCCAGCTAGTATTTTGGTGTTCTTTGAATTCCACAGGCCAAACGGGGAAAAGGCACCAAGGAAAACCACATTGCCCAAGCATCCACATCAATTAACTTCACATTTTAGTACGGATGAGATTCTCATATCAAATTACAGGAAACAATTTTGACCTTTCAAAGTTGATTAACTTCGAGGTATCCGTTTAGCAGTCAAAAAAGTTTGATTTTATTGAATTTGAATGTTAAAGTCGGTGTTTAAAGTAATTTATTCTTTTAAATATACAAGATCTATATAAAAAAATCATATTTAAAATCGTTCAAAAAAAATATAATTTTGATTAACATACAAATTAATAGCGATGATCATTCGATTTGGTTTCAATGTTTTTTTTTTTTAATTAATCGAATTGGTTAAAATAAAAATCGAAATCGAACCGAATTGAGATTCGGTTTTTCGATTAAAAAACTAAATTTTTTGGTTTTCGGTTAAAAAAATGATTTTTTTTTTATATTTTTCTTCTGAAAATCAAATTATTTTGCTTCTAAAAAATATTAAACTTATATAGTAATTTCAAATAACGTGCAAACCAATACGATAATATTTCTAATTTTTTTTAAAAAAAAACTTCATACACCATTTATCTCAATGCTATCACGTCTTTATCTCTTTACCGATTCATTAATTGTCTTATTTTTGTGCATATTCTCCAAGTCATGAAAATTGAAGTAAATAATAAATTAGTCCCTCTAGCTAGTTTTAAGAAACAAACTAATTAGTCTCCCTCATTTTAAAAACAATTATTTAATCTTTTAATCAATGTTAATCATGTTTAATTTAATATTATTTTTATTATATAAAATCTCTTGTTTTATCATTAATCTTTCTATATATTTTCATATTTTTTATTTCTTAAAATAAAAAATCAAAATAAATTAAAAAATATTAAATTACAAGTAGATTTCAAAATATAAAGACTAAATGATTAATTTTTGAAATAAAAGGGATTAGTTAATTTATTTTGCTAAACAAGAGGAGCTAATTTATAATTTACTCTGAAAATTGTGAGTACATGTTTTTTTTTCTACCTCTAACATTAAATTACAACGGAGAGGACATCTCACATGCCCTGCTGCGTACATAGTAGACGGTGCGACAAATTATCAGAGATTGGATTTTATTGTTAAGTTACTTGTGTTAATCTTTGAATCCTGCTTGCATATCAAATCAAAACGAAGAGGACTTTTCACTTTCAGTACAAGTTGAGCAAATTATTCGTGATTAGCTTCTAGTTTTAAAAACAAATTAATTAATCTCTTTTGTTTCAAAAATAATTTATTGAGTCTCATTATTTATAAATTTTCTTATAATTTAACGTTTTAGTCCTTTTTCAATTTATAAAAAATAAATAAAAATATAATAATTTTTTAAATAAAATGATATTAAATTAAGCATGACGTTTATTAAAGAAATAAATAATTAATTTTGTTTTTAGAAAATAGAGAGACTAATTTATAATTTTCAAATCCGAGTATGGTTGTATTTATTAGTGCATCTCCTATAAGAGATATTGTCGTTTGTCAATTGATTTAGATGCCATTTTTTGAGGAGTTGTTCCTCCTTTGATGAGGTATTTTTCACTGGATCGATTTAGAGGGTAATTATGATGCGAGCGCATGCTACGGCTAAGTTATGTCCATTGTGAAAATAGAAGCATGGAGTTACGAGACAAGATAGATATAGAACTATGTTCCCTGCAAACCTCAATTTTATGAATTTTTTTTTGTTTTTAACAATAATGGTCCTCTTAGATAATTTTTGCATATCCAGATTGAGTCTTTTCTTAATGGAATTTTAAACCAATCATTTACGCTTGCATTAATACTGCATTCACATATATATATATATATATATATATATTGCCTTTTTAGACATTGAATGATAATGAATATTAAATTGACAAAATTTCGTCATAGTTCTCCTAATCACTTACAGTTCTATAATACACATGCAATAAAATAACATTATACTATGAATGTTTTTATTGTTTTACGCACAAATTTATCTGAAAAAAATCTTTTACCATCGAATTAATGTTTTCTTTATATGTCATAAGAGTTTCCTGCCTGTTTATTCATAAAATCATAATGAAGTATTTTTATTCACCGAGAAAAAAAGCATTGTTAATTTGTGAGGAATTGCAAAGACTTTCCACTGGAGCTCAAGCTGACTCTTAAAAGATGTTTTTCAAAAACTATTAAGCTGTTTATCGTTCGTTATTACAGTTCGGATACTTTTTAAATGCTTGTGATTAAAAGGACATCAATTCAATGCTTTTTAGGGTTTTTTTATATATAATTTTAATATAAGAAAATTCTCATAGAAAATTCATAGAAAAATAACTATGAAAAAAAAAACATTCTAAAATCATAAACCAAGCACAAACCTAATTAAGCCAAGAATCCTATTGCTTATATTCACTTTCTTCGAAATTCGCATGCGATGTGGATCGTTGGTTTCTCGGATTTTTTTGTCACTCGCTCACTTTTTTATTATGCTTGCAAAGATGGAAGCTATCTGCAAGAGGTTTATTATTGCTTGGGATATTGGGTATAAAAAGGTTGGTGATGGAAATTGATTCACAGGAAACATTATATTATACTATATACTAAAGTGAAAATAATATTTTTCACTATAACAATGAACAGTATTAATTATTGTTCATTGTTAAAGTACTTTAACCTTTTTTTTTTAAGTTTTTTTTTTTTTTTGCTAGCATCCGTTAGCCTCCCCCTACTCGTTCAGTGTTCATTTGAACAGTAAAGGTTTGCCCTTTTTTTTTTTCTCTCTCTAAACACTAAATTTTTTTTAATTTCCGCCTGTTTACTGTTAAGATGAATTGTAAACGTTGGCCACCTTTTTTTTTTCCCTAAACATTGATTTTTTTTTAAATTTTCTTTTCTTAATAATATTGAGTGTTAAAATTTTTAAAGAACCAACAATTAACTCGGGTGTTAAAATTTTAAAAAAATCAATAATTTATTCCTTTTATTATTTATTTTTAAAATTTAAAAACACAAATAAGAAATAGTTAAGTATAAATTTTTTATTAAAAAATTATAATTATTTTTTATCATAAAACAAATTATTAAACTGAAATAATTTTTTTACATGATTTTATATATTTTATCAGATCCATAACATTATGTGAGTAAAAAATATAATTTCATGCTATTCGAAATAAGGTCTTATCTTCTTACCTATATTATAATAACATCTTTGATATTTAGGATTTTTATCCGTATAAGTGGAAATTGTTATTTAATCATATTCGAAGACAAGAGAATCATGAAAGTAGCTCTCTAGCTATGAATGGCTTTTCTGTTGACATGACATTACAGATTTGGTATTATCTAACATTAAATCTCGTTGATATTATTTTAAGTGATATTATTGGAATCTTTTTCTCTAGAGCCAAGTTATGTGTTCTATTTTCTTTAAAAAAAAAAAAAATTCTTTTTAAAACAACTTGGCCATTTGTCGCATGCTAGATTTTCTTAAAGGGGTACCGCATATGCAGTGCACCATTTGAAGAAAATTGTGAATGCATGCTTATATTTGAGGGGAGCCAAACCCATGTTTTTTGGAATTTTCTTTTTGAGAAAGAACTTTTCTTATAATTAAGTGATAACTCATTGAGTTTTTATTTATTGTATTGGATTTCAAGACCAATTATTCCAATGCCAAAGTTATAACCTCACTGAATATTTATTAAGAAGGAAAAAATGAACTAGCTAGAAATTCATTTCATGTCAACTGAAAAAAAAAAAACAAATCAATTACAGTGGTTGGCTTTATTTTCTCTCTAGGTCAACCTAAAATATAAAAGCCTAAGAGGAAGAATCCTCTGAGGTAGGGTCTACCTCCCGCACATCATGAACGTCGGCACTGTCTCCAAAAATTTGATCAAGAACCAGGACCAATCCCATAGCAAAAGCACCATCAAACCCTGGCCTTAGACAAAGCCAAAAGACATCCTTACCGAGCATCACATGTGTCGAGGGGTCCACTTTTCTTTTGATCACAGCCGCCGGTTCTTTTGATGAATTCTCCAAGGAAGTGTTACAAATCGTACAGCATCTCTGGGAATAAGAACCCCTGATATGGTACTCCTCACCTGGATCACCAAAAACCTCTACTACCAAGTTGGACGGTCCGATGATACTAGATCTGTATACACTAAAAACTGGGTCTTGATGATCTTCTTTCCTCTCCCCCAAGAAGCCTTCCCACCGTTGACGAAGACCTGGCTTCTGTTTTCCACAAATCAAAGGAAACAAGAATCCATATTAATTTCATTTTTTATGAAAATAAAAATGTTTGTTTATTTATTTCCTACAACCGTAACTTAGGCAAGAACGTATAGACCTTGGGGGAATTTTCATACGTTTATTAAGCCAAATTGTTAGAAAAAAGGAGTTGGAGTTTCTAAAATTAGGTTCAATGGCTCTGAAAATCTGTATTGTTTTAGTTCCTGTTACATAGAACTTCATGGTTTCAGAAAGACAATTGAATACCCAACATTTTACATTTACATTAACATCTTTTGCTTATTAAAAAAAAAAAAACAACAACAACAACAACAATAATAATGCAACCTTAAGAACATGTTACATGTGACGTACACTGATTGATTAGAAAGTTCTACAGTTAATTTTTAAAGTTGCCTAAAGTTTTTAAATTTAACAGGATCCCATTGTGTAAACTACTAGTACAAAAGATCAAGAGTAAATTATTTTTTAGTCCTGCAATTTGAATACAGTTTTAACTTAGTTCTTCGTTTTTAAAGACCTGTAACTTAGTTTTTTTTTTCAAAAAAAAAACTTGTTAAGACATTTATTGGTGTTTTTCTAGGTCGTGTTTGAGGAGGTATAAAATTTAAAATCTCAACAAAAGATCATTATAATGGGTTTTCCCATAAGAATGGACTCTTTTCTTTGGCCAACAATCTAAAGATATCTTTTTTCTTTGAACAACACTATAAAGATATGTCATCTATCCAGTATTTTTTACTATATATTGAGGCTCTCCCGGAACAAATCTCAGTTTCAACAATACCAACATGCATACATAATTTTATAGTGTCATCTGCTCTCTCTAGAAAAATAATGACTGTAAAAATGTGTATAGTATGTCTAAAATATTAACTTAACTATCATAATAGCTTTTTCAAGCACTTTTCGACACTATTAACTCTGGCATTTGCGCTCTATGCTTGTAAAACTTTAAAATATACCATTATTATTTATCAACCCTCTTAAAAAGGCCGAACAACAAATACAATCAATCTAGATGCTGAAATCTAATGAATCATTAGTGATGTCGTTTGTAGAAAACTAACTTAAAAAACAAATTTCTCATCCATATTTACCGATCTCCAATCCGACAATAATGGTGTCCTTCTTCGTATAAAACACTAGATCTGATTACACAATACACGCTCCATTCAAGTATATATTACTTAAATAAGATAACGTTTGTCTTAATTCTAGAAGCATACTACTATAGAAATAACATATAGATTTATCATAATCATCACCTCTTAATACAAAAAATGAATAATTTATTTATTTATGTTGCCTTTTTATCAATCCCTTACTCATATATTTTTTCCATAGTGTTAATTTACATTACATGACATATATACATTCATCCATCCAACACTTTTTCATAAAAGGTATCAATTATTAATTTCCTTATTATTATGGTGGATAATATGTGAAAAAATAGATAAAATGAGATCAGATCACCACACGACAATACCTTCACTGTGCAACACACTTCTGATATTAACACTCAGTAGATAACATCTCAGAAAATAGACAAAATGAGCCAAGATCACCACACGATTATACTTTCAATTTGAAACACACTTATGATATTGACACTCACTTATCATATTTTTTTTATTATTTTCTACAAGCATCAACTAATTATGCAGATCAAACAGAATGTCTGGCCCCATCTATATTTTGGTCAAGCCAACCTTGATTGAAATAAAAGGGCACATCTAGGCTAGCATGATCGGTTAATATTCATCATCTAATAAAAACCCAGACATAGATGACTTAATTAGTAAAAAGACACTTGTACAGGACAAATTTAAGCGGAGCTGCCCATTGTCATTCGGGTCAAGCCTAGGCAAACTAGCTATCAATTCGAGACAAACATATTTGAACAAACAAAAATAAAAAGAAGGAAAGACAAAAAGAATAGAATTTTTTTTTTAAAAAAGAAAGAAGTTGGCGTGTTTCTAGAAAAGAGGAGAAAAGAAAAAATAAATCATCAAAGCTCCATCACCAGTACACTCTGAACAGCTAGCATTGCCTCGGCTAGACGAAGCTAATAACACTAGTCAAGGCACCGTTTTGCGGTTGCATAATGCCACACGCATGGAGAGAGGTTTGGCCATGCCTTACCATGCACCACCGTGCATCTGATAGTCTATCTCGCCCTCTTTCGCTTCACTCTTTCAAGATTTTATGGCCCTTCAATTTTGATCATGAATTTGAGCTTGGCTTCCATATCAGTTCTCAAGTGTCATCTATCATCGCTCTCAACCCTTGATTTTGTCTATATGACAAAAGTTGGTCCCTATGCTACTTATTCCTCCATCAGGGATTACACCTCCCTTTGGAGAGTCCATCCCTCAAGGATTCCATCCTTCTTCGGGATCCACCTCCCCCTAGGAAGTTCATCCCTCATCGGGATCCATCTCCCCCCCCCCGTTCCTTCCTGAAATCCACCTCCCTTTAGGGATCGCACTCCTCTCCAAAGAGTCCGCTCCTCTGGGAGTCTACAGCCACGTTCTTTTAAGAATTTACGATGACATTCTTCTAGAAATATATTCCTTTAAAACTCTACAACTACGTTCTGGCAAGAACTTATAACAACATTCTTTCGAGAATATATTTCATTCGAGAACCAGTAGTCATGTTTCTTTCAAGAACTTAAGGTGACCTTCCTTTAAGAACATATTCCATCGCAGACCTATAGTCATGTTCTTCTAAGAACTTACAACAATGCTCTTCTAAAAGTCCATTCCTTTGAGAATTTCTATTTCTTCATAAACTCACTTCTCCAAAAGTCTATTCCTTCAAAAATCTCCTTTCCTTTAGAAATACAGCACTTCCAGAACTAGCTCCTTAGTGAGTCTATTTCTCCAAGAATTTCCATTACTCTAAAAATATATTTCTTCGAGAATTGATAACCATGATTCCTCCAAAAACTCAAATCCGTCCAAACAACTTGTCAAACAAGATGGCCAGAAAGTTCAAACCTGGCGAGTCACATCTCCAAAACCACAAATCTACTTAACTAACTTCATACAAGTACATCATCAAATTTCTAACCGAAATAGCCTAGCTTTAAGGCAAGAAAAGCAACTGATTAGGTATAAAATTTAAGCTCTCCACAAAAACCCATCATGATGGACCTTCTCACAATTATGAGCTCTTTTTCTTGAAGACTCATAGCCACCTGATCCGAGACTCTAAAAATATGCTTTATACCCATTATTTTGTACTATACGTAGAGACTCGTTTCTTCATAAAACACAAGTTTAACAACACTAGCTACGCATAATTTTAGAGAATCATTTGCTTTCTCCCTAAGTACCTATGTAGCATGTCCAAAATATTGACTTAATTATGGGAGTGGTTTTACTAAATTAACATCCCCACCCCCACTAACTTCACCATATGTGCTCCATGTTTGCAGAATTTTAGGAGTCACTGCCATCATTTTTCCAACTCTCTCCAAAAAACTGAACGACAAATACAATCAATGCATCTACTAAAATATCAAGCATCATCATTGTTTCTCTCAAAATTCATATTCGTTTGAGAGATTTAAAAATTAAGAAAAGGCAACGTGTAGGTTCTTAAGTAGGCAAGAGTGCTTAACAAGAAACCTCGGGATTGAATTATAGTTTTCCAAACCCAAAAAAACCTAAGTTATACTTACATTCAAAACCTAGGGATTAATTAATCATAATTTACTCGAAAAGTTAAATTATTGCCCGAAGGTTCCAGTCGGGTTAGTAGTGCCATCTATAATTCCGAAAACATTAATTACTAAGAGTTACAGTAATTTAACCTTAAAGTATTGAACTAATTTTCGACAATTGAAAGCCCAAAAAAGACGTGAAATACAGGAGCTAACCTTTCGATGAAGGGTGAGGAGGCCCTTGCCAGTTGCATCCATGAGAACAAGCTCATCTTTTGGCTCAGAATCAGGGCCATAAGAATCAAATCGAAAGATGATTTCCCTGTTAGGATGATAGACGATGAAACCATCTCCCGGGAAGAACACAGAGGTTTTGTGGACTGTAAGGTTTGTTGCCTCTTTGAAACAGAATTTCTCATCTACAATCATCCCTAAGCACCACAGCAACAAACTATGAGCATAAATTAAGATCCTGATGTTTTACTAAAAATCTCGAAAGGAATACGAGAGAAAGATTCTATTGGTAGAAAGAATACCAGAGCAAAAGGAGAGAAAATGAGTGTTATAATGAATTGAAATGGTGTTTTCTAGCTCTGGGCCTGTTTATTCAAAGTTTAAGTTTGTGACAGTGATTCCTTGCATAGCAGGCAAGATTAAGGCAGGAAGGTAAACCATACATTTCAGGTTTCAGTTGAGTACAGTGTACTGGAATATGACTTTACGATCGTATGCGTGGATGAGGTGGAATGCTTATGAACAATTTCTGTTTGCGGTTGGCGTGTCAAGATCAGCTCGTGGTCGACAGGTCGATGGGGAGCCAGTCTGGATGATGGATGATTTAACGGAAAGTTTTATTTGGTCAGACTTGTAGACTTGAGCGGTTTAAGATTTTAGGAGTAAAAATATATACTGATATATTTTCAAATAGAATAATAAATAATAGTTATAAAATAATTGATATATAGTGAGGGAATATATATATTTTATATGAAATAAACTTTAAATTCAATGAATTGTGGGTGCAGAGCTTTTGCACAGTGGGATCAATGATTTAATATTGTTCATAATATATAACTTAAAAATAAATCAAGAGAAAATTACATTTTGTGGTTGTGGTTACGATTCCCACGTGGGGTGTTTTTCCTGTTCAATTTCAGCGTCATTCGTATTTTTTAATATTTTTTATTTTAATATTACTAATTTACAGTATCACCAATACTGTAACTTAATTGTTTCAGTAACTACTACTAACACCATCAATTCACCATCGATGCTATGACAACCATGCATTATATTATTACTGATATAATCACCAATTCATGAAGTTAAAAAATATATATTTTTTTAAAAAAAATAGAACTATTCAAGAGTTGATTTGAAAAATATTTTATGTTGACTTACTTTCATAGTATTTGTTTCATATAAGAAAATAAGAAGAAAAAAACATTATTCTGAAAAATATTTTCCATAAAACAACAAATAAGACGAAAACTTTGTCCAACTTTGAAGGTATCATAGACTTTCTACCCTTATGTTATGCTCCTACTCGTGGAATGTGGATAAATATAGTATTTATGTCTGCTTAGCTTCTAAATGTATTTTAAGTTTCAACTTTTCTATATATAAACTGTATTTTCTCGATAAATGCAAGAGTATAAAAATTATAATGTTCTACTAAAATATATATTCAATCTACAAATACATATTGATTCTACTAAAAAAGAAGAAGCTATAGTCTGTAATTTGTAGCAAAATAGTATTTTCATATCAAACCTCGTTAGTAAATACGTTTTTCTTATGTTATCTATCATCTCGACAAAATATTTATAACGAGACCGGAAAATTCATGGAAATTAAAAAAAGAAACATACCTTGAGTTCTTAGCTATAAAGACAACTTTTAAATTATATTTATTTGTTTCATGTGTAATTTGACTTTGTAATTTGATCTCCTGAGCTAGAGCATGATAAACATGTTTTTGATAAAAATTGGAATGGATCAACTAGACATTATAAGAGGAGTAAATTATAAATATTCCCTCTAGTTTTAAGAAACAATTTAATTAGTTTTTTTCGTTTCAAAAACTATTATTAAATCTTTTAATCGAGTATTGAACATGCTTGGTTTAAAATTATTTTTATTTCATAAAATCTCTTATTTTCTCATCAATTTTTTTATTTTTTATTTCTTGAAATAAAATTAAAATAAATAAAAAATGAGTAAAGATGATTAAATTACAAATAGATTTCAAGACATGAAGACTAAATAATTTGATTAGTGTTTGAACACAAATGTGAAACAAAAACATAATCAAAATTCCATCGAGACAGCTAAGACACAATGAAAGAAAATCTTTCTTAGTCTTAAATACCTATTTGATTGGTTATTAGTTTGATGTGGTTGTAAGTGTACTTATCAACATTGATAAGCCATTTTGATTCTTGATTCAAAAAGTTAAATGATTGAGTGAGACATTGAGATATGATTTAATTATTCTCCACACATCTTCTCAAGTAAGTACCTATTTAATTAGTTATTAGTTTGATGTAGTTGTAAGTGTACTTATCAACATTGATAAGCCATTTTGATTCAAAAAGTTAAATGATTGAGTGAGACATTGAGATATGATTTAATTATCCTCTACACATCCTCTCAAATAAAATAAACTTAAAACTTATATAGGTCTACTACTATTTTAAAAAATCATTAAATTAATAAAATTCTAATATTATATAAAAAATTATACTAATTCAAAATTTTAAATTATTGAATAAAATCTCAAGTTATAATATATTTTTCTTTAGTAGTTAGAACATCACAATGGCCAAGACAGTTAAAAAAAGGATCACATTTAATCACTAATCACAGTATTTTTTGATCATTTTTTTGGATCGGGTTCCATATATCTAGTTTATAATTTAAATATAGAGTTATTCTTTGTTCATTAATGTAATTGTGCCGGATTGTCAGTTATGTGTTTCATGTTTTTTTTTTCAAAAAAAAAAAAATCTTTGTTTATAATTTTATAAATTTCCAAGTCGAATAAAGTCCATAATAAACTTAGAAAATACTAGAAAAGTTTAAATGGCGACCAGTTCACTAGTCCAACCAATTGCCAAGGCAATCGGTTTTTTTACAACTCAATCCTTCTTCTTGTTTTTTTTTTTTTTTTTTTTTTCCCTCGAAACTACCCAACTCAAGTATCAATTCAAGTGTGTGTATATATATATATATATATATATATATATATATATATATCTAATTGGTTAGGTTAGGCATGTTCTAGTACCACTATCTAAAGCCTTTTTACTATAATTTCTCCTGCTTAACCCCTTTAACAATAAAATAGTTTCTCATATTGATAAAAGATAATAATAATAAAAAAAAAACCTAGTAAGAAATATATATGGGCAAAACTACATATCGTATGCCTATAATATTACTATACTGGTATGGAATGTATCTACATAGTTATGTTGATTAAAACATCAATAGATATGTTAATGCAATTGTCATATTAATATATATGTCGGACGTAATATACTATTATATCGATCAAATAACTGTCATGCCATCATATCTATTAACTTAACAATCAATATTTTGATATAATTATTTCAGGTTATAGATTCACGGTCATGGATACATAAATGTATTTTGTACCAATATTATAATGGCAAGGGACTGCATCAATGAGCTTTACCATGTGCCGCACTATTAGGAAAGACAATGGATTGGGTATTAAATATGTATTATTTACTTTATTAAACTCAATAAATATTTATTAAAAAGTATAATGAGCATTAAGGTGGGTAAAAAAAAAAATGTATACTGATGAATATGATTTTCGGATACGAATATTCTCTTTATACTCTACTAATACTTACTATTTTATTTGAAAAAAAAAACTTGTAACAATATAATTGCACAAACTATGTAAAGTGAGATCAAATTTTTTTAATGAAAAGTCAAGGACAAAAAACTTATAAATAAAAGATTAACTTGTAAAAAATAAATTTTAAGGACCAAGGTAATTTTATAAAATTTATAAGGATTAAAATAAAATATTTTGATAATTTTTTTTAACTGATATTAAATTAACAGATAACTAAATCTGAGTTCAATATTTTTTTAACGGATATACACATAACATACATACATATACATATACATACATACATACATACATATATATATATATATACACACACATGCAGTAAGGAACTGCATTAATGGCCGTGTACCCGACCATGGACCTGCCGGCGCATTATTATTTCAAGTCACCTAAAAAAAATGCTATAAGCACCCCACTAGTCAATCCGATCATTAAGGTCTCCAAAGCCCAAGACCATTCAACACGCCAGACATGATAGGTGGTAGAAAAAGAAAATGCCCAAAACTTTAAAAATCAACCTTCTAATTTAATTCTCATAAAACAAACGGTAGAAAAATCAAACTTTAAAAAAAGAAAAAGAAAAAAAATTCCTGATCACAACCAAAACTCCCCGTTTCACAACCATTTACAGACCAACTCCTTCAATCCTCTGGCGGTTTCACTAACGCCTGAAAGTCAGCAATCAGCCAATCACCCCCTCTGCTCCAATGCAAAGCTGAACAGATTCCTTTCTCTCCCCCCGCTTTCCCTTCCTCGCAAATGCAATGTCCCTCCCCAGATCACAATCAAACACCATCACAACAGATTCCACATGGGATTCAATCCTCCCGGGCCCACCTTCCCGTAACAACTTTTCCTCGCTCGATCTCTCCTCTTCAAATCTCCTCGCCTTTCCCTCCGGTTCTTCAATTTCCATCGTCGATTCCGTTTCCCTCCAATTAATCTCCACATTTCCTCTCCCTCCTCCTCCTGCTTCCACCTCCTCTCCCTCTCTCTCCCCCTTCGTTACTTCCGTACGCTTCACGCCTTCTCCTCTCAACCGTAACCTCCTCTCCACCGAACCTTCCTCCTCTCACCTCCTCCTCGCCGCCGCCGACCGCCATGGCCGTATTGCTCTCCTCGATTTCCGCCTCAAAACTGTTGTCCTCTGGCTCGAACCTGATCCCAACCCGAAATCTGGTATTCAAGACCTCTGCTGGGTCCTCTCTAGCTCCGATTCCTATGCTCTCGCTTCCATTTCCGGTCCTTCTACTCTTTCTCTCTACACCACCACCGGCACGGCTGCTAATGCCAACGCTTCGAGTTACTGTTTCTTTAAGTACGACGCGTCGCCGGAGTTTTTGTCGTGTGTTCGTCGCGATCCGTTTGATTCGCGGCATTTTTGTGTGATCGGACTTAAAGGATTTTTGTTGTCGGTGAAAGTGCTTGGAGAGAGTGAGAATGACGTCGTTTTGAAGGAATTTCATATTCCCACGGATTATAGTGAGCTGTTGAAGTTAGAGAAGGATGTAACACCGAGTGGTGGTAGTGGTGGAGGATCGTTGGTGCCGGCATCGGCTGTTTTTCCGTTGTATAGTGTGAAATTGGCGTTTTCGCCGCAATGGAGGAATATTTTGTTCGTTACGTTTCCTAGGGAGCTTGTGGTGTTTGATTTGAAGTATGAGACTGTGCTTTTTAGTGCTGCATTGCCTCGAGGGTGTGGGAAGTTTCTAGATGTGTTACCGGATCCGAATAATGAGTTGCTTTATTGTGCTCACCTTGATGGAAAGCTCAGTATTTGGCGGCGAAAAGAGTAAGTGTTTCTGTAACTGGAAACTCCATTGTGTATTCATTTTGCAACTTTATAACATACATATTCGTATGAAAATCATGTGGTGAATTGTTTTAAGAATCAGTTGACTCAATGATACTTGTGTGGGTTTATGGCTTTATTGGAGAAATTGTTGTATAGACTCGGACTATGTACACTGGATCAATTAAATGATCGGTGCAGTGGACTCCATTGTTACAGTTGGTTAGTGTGATAGTTTTAGATAATTTGATTGGTCTGGTATATGAAAACTCAGGTTATGCAATGATTAAATGTGTTGCTGAGTGAAAGAAGGAATGTGCTTATTTGGGTAACCATTGCAGAGGAGAACAGGTGCATGTAATGGGTGGAATGGAGGAGTTGATGCCGTCTATTGGAACATCAGTTCCTTCTCCTTCGGTTCTAGCTGTTGCTATATGTCAATCGGAGTCTACACGCCAACATGTCGCTAAGATTTGTTCTGATGCACCTAACTCTCCTTCGGCTGAGGTGGATTTTGACAATCCTTTTGATTTCTGTGATGAAACTGTTGTTCACTCCACAACACATATGATCTCCATTTCTGATGATGGAAAAGTTTGGAACTGGCTGTTGACTGCTGAAGGGACTGAAGACAATCAGAAGGATATGGTTTCTGATTCACATGAAATGCCACTTACAGGGGCCAATACCAATGCTGTAGCTTTGGCTGATGGACTTGGCCAAGAAGCAGGCAAGCAACAAGAACTTGGGAATGGCAATAAAAACCGCCCGCCATCTACTCTGAGCCAGGAATTGTCATTTAAGGTAAGTGAATAAGCTATTTTATGTTAAGTCTTATGCGTCTTGCTTGGTGGCTGTAGACTGCAAAAGCATTTGCTGAACAGATAAAAACTATGACTTCAAAATACAACAATAGCTCTTCAAGTTTCTGTTCTATGTCAAAATGGATGACTATCTTGGTGAATAGAATTACTTTTCATCCTCTGCTAGTTCTTTGGCTTAACTGCACATACTCATGAGCCAAATTATTGATGCAGATCAGCTTAGTTGGACAGCTGCAGCTTCTTTCTTCAGCAGTTACTATGCTGGCTGTACCCTCCCCTTCTCAAATAGCTACACTGGCCCGTTAGTTTCTTCTTGACACTTAATAATTTTAAGTTTAGTTTCTGCTCGTTATACCATAGATTAATGAGATGATTTAATGCGAAGGTGGGGAAATTATCCTGCTGTTGCTGTCCCCCTGGTTGCTCTGGGTACTCAAAGTGGAACAGTTGATGTTGTTGATGTTTCTGCAAATGCTGTCGCAGCGAGTCTTTCAGTGCATAATAGTACAGTTAGGGGATTACGTTGGCTTGGAAATTCAAGACTTGTTTCGTTTTCTTACAGTCAGGTAAATGGCATTCAATTGGAAGTTATCATTGAAATGCACCATACTAAACTGAGTTTTATTTATTTTCGTTCTCTTTTTTTCTTTAAATCTCTCTCTTCCTCTGGTGGGGCAGGTGAATGAAAAAACTGGAGGTTACATTAATAGGCTTGTTGTAACCTGTCTTAGAAGTGGTCTTAACAGACCATTTCGGGTTCTACAAAAGCCAGAGCGTGCTCCCATTAGAGCGCTACGAACTTCTTCATCTGGAAGGTTGCCAGAGACCCCCTTTTTTCTTTTTTTCATCCTAATTGCTGTGTATTTCATTTTCAATTTCATATAGAACTTATAGCCATATGTTTTATATGTCTTCTGAATGTTTCTTATAATACTCTTTTGCATCTGTTTCAGTCTGCATACTGACACATATCACATTTGTGTGTTTTCATTGGTAGCTTACACAGTTAAATCTGGTTTTAAATTTTCAGGTATCTTCTTATTTTGTTCCGTGATGCGCCTGTGGAGGTTTGGGCAATGACAAAAACTCCCATCATGGTTTGTAGGCTGATACCTTCTCCTTTCCATCATTACTCGTTTGCTGGGCAAGTCATTTGCATCTTGTGATTGTTAAGTTTTTCAACAAGGATAGCTCAAAATCTGCTTAAAAGAAGTTATTGCACAGTTCCCACTCCAACATAACTCAAGTGTCTGGATATAATTTCCCTTTTGCTTGGAATAAGCATTACCCTTTCTTTAAGTTTGTGAATTTACCAGCATGGATGCAATATTTATCATTTAAATGTGTAAGTTTTGTAACTTTTGACAGCCCTATACAGTTCTGTGGTTTTAAGCTGATGTCAAAAGTACTTATCCATTTATCTTTTTGGAGAGGAGGCAGAATGTCAATACCCTGAGATTTCTCTTGGTGCAAATGAATGTTTTACTTTGCATAGTGGCATCAAATGAATTTCTGTTTTTCTATTTTCATTCTACTTTCTGAAGATAAATAGATTAGAGTGTTTTAAAGACAGTGTTGAATTCAAAATCAGGCTAATTTTCATTTACAATAATAATCCTGTGCTCTTGGCATGTAGTGGTGGACTTCATCCCCATTCTTATTTTCACATATCATGACCTTCATGTTATATGTTTTATAACAGCAGTCATCCATTTCTTTTTCCTGGACTTCATTCCCATTCTTATTTTCACATATCAGGATCTTCATGTTATAAGTTTTATAACAGCAGTCATCCATTTCTTTTTCCTTAATTACGTTAATGTTGGACATGTAAACATTTTTCAGACTCATAGCGAATGGTGAAATTTTCAGTAATCTCTTTTTGTTGGGTGATATTGAATTATTTTTTTCCTTTAGATAATTATTATGCTTTATATCCCCATGTAGCTTAGATCATTAGCTCTTCCATTCACGGTATTGGAATGGACTCTTCCAACAGTTCCGCGACCAGTTCAAAATGGTCCCTCTAAGCAAGTTTCATTGAAAGATCAAACACCTGTAGCACAAGATCGAGCATCTACTGCAAAGGAATCTTCATCAGAATCTAGTGAGCCTTTTCTACTCATTATGTACATTGGTTACTAGTCTTAATTATTTGATCGATCCTTTTTTTTTTTTTTTTTTGCTTTTTTTTTATATTCAAATCTTTTCAACATGGAAGTAGCTCTTATGTGCAGCAGCAGTGAGCTCAGATGCTTCTCAAGATGACACTGCAGAAAGTTTTGCATTTGCACTAGTAAATGGTGCTCTTGGAGTTTTTGAGGTTCATGGGCGGAGGATACGAGATTTCAGGTATAATTATATGATGCTAGTAGTTGCATTAGGACGTTTGGCATTTTGTTATGTGTAAACACCCATTGCTCAATTTTCTTGTATTTTATGTTCTAGCCATCAGCAGCACAATTTTAAAACTCTTGGACTTGCAACTAGAGGTTAAAACCTTGTAGGTTGAATGCTGCCGAATTATCAGTTTATGCCAAAAAGGAAGTTGAAAAATATGTTCTCTTCTTAGAACCCTGCTTCAATTAAATCATAACACACCGACTGGATAATAGCTTTAACTTTTGTATGTTTTGATCCAGTTGGATTTTCTTTTGATCATTATGCTTCAGCATATATTTTACTAGAAACACATGATCTAAAAAATTAATAATAAGGAGGCGAGAATTTAATATGTAACTAAAGATTCATGCTCTGAGGTATGGATGAAGCAAAATTGTCTCTAGTATTTTTGAGGATGTCATATTGTAAAAGAGGCAAAAATTCAAGAATGTAGACACAGTCCTGCTTGAGTTGGGTACCATGAAGGGCAATCTGAAACTGGCTTAACCTTCAACATTTTGTTTAACAAAATAAGAACTCTCAACTGTCAAAGCTGCTGTTGGAGCTTAGGAAGGAGATGTATTTACTGTTCCAACTCAAATTATGAAGTCCATATATATTGCTCTTGTGGTTGATTATGAACAAGATGTGTGATCGGATCGTGTATTTAACTCTTTTCTATATTGAGGTGTTAGCTGATCTGACAAGTGTGCTTTATGCATTAGGTTTCTATTAATTGTACTTTTATGCATTTTAGGTATTAAAATTTCTCCTTTTCTTACCCCAGAACCCCAAGGAGAAAAGGATATGCTGTAAAAGTCAAAAGGAAATACCTAGTTCAGGAAGCATGAAACAGTGTAACATTATTTATTCTATCAAAGATTACCCCTTTCTGCAGTCATGGTTGCTGTGAACCATGTCATGCTTCTGCCCCTTGTATTGTTGGTCTGTATCTTTGTTGCATATAATGTTTCAATCATCCCAAAGGAGAGAATAATTGCAATGAAAAGAGCCTAGAAAACGACTTGAATGAGAATTATTGCTTTATTAATTCCTCCACGAAAGATCTCACATACAATAATTTCAATTTTATATAGTGGCCTATGGAACTTTAATCATGGAAGTAATTTTCCTCCCTTTTCAATCTGTTTTAAAAGTAACACATCTTATGTCAACAATTATTATCATCTATCACAATCAAATGTTACAGTTTTACTTCTGTTGTTTGGAGTACATGGATGTCTTGTTATTTGCCATTATCTCATCAAGTTCTCTTTTCTTGTCTGTAGACCGAAATGGCCTTCATCTTCATTTGTGTCTTCCGATGGATTGATTACCGCCATGGCCTACCGCTCACCTCATGTTGTATGTAACATTATCTCCTAATTATTTCAGTTGCTTGACTATGTAAATCAAGAACTTGATTTTTCCAAAGTTTCTATTGCAAGAGGCAGTCACTTGACTACTTTTCAGGTTATGGGGGATAGGTCTGGGAACATACGGTGGTGGGATGTAACAACTGGACATTCTTCATCATTTAACACTCACAAAGAAGGAATCAGGAGAATCAAATTCTCACCTGTTGTTCCTGGGGACCGTAGCCGGGGGCTTATTGCTGTCCTTTTTTATGACAATACATTTTCTGTATTCGACCTTGTAAGCATAAAATTTGGCGATGAATCTTGTTTCTTAAAGCACTGTCTGCATTCATTTTACTGTGATACAGAGTCTACACATTCATACTATGTGTTCTGGTTGGTAATCTGTGCTATATCTCTGATCTGATGACAAATTTTAATGTGAATGCTGTTTTTTCTTTTGCAGGATTTGCCGGACCCATTAGCCAATTCACTTTTACAACCTCTATTTCCTGGAACTCTTGTGTTGGAACTCGATTGGTTGCCTGTGCGAACTAATAAAAGTGATCCTCTGGTATTATGTATTGCTGGAGCAGATAGTAGCTTCCGCCTTGTTGAGGTTAAAATGTATGTGCCACTTCGTATAAGTTGCCAAACTTTTTTCTTTGCTTGTTATTGTCTTTATGTTTGAGAGGGTTAAGTCGGATCTATCATGATGAACTTTTACTTAAACATTCTTGATAGGGCTGGTTGGGGATTTAGATGTTGCTGTAGCATGAGATAATCCGTTTCCTTTGAACCTATTATTTCTAGGATATAATCAAAGTGTTTTTACCATACAAAGACTCTTGCACATGCAGACATGCACATTGAAGCTTTTCTTCGATAACTGTTTTGCTATTTGGCCAAGCAAAACTTTCTCTTTTAACTTAATTTATGTATTAATTTTGTACAACTAATTATCAAACATGAATTGACAGAATTGGATTAAATATGTTCAAAATTTTCTAGCTCTCTTCTGGGTGTCAGACATGAGAAATTGTTGACCCATGTCTTTCATGATTAGTCCACTGCAATTTAGTGACACTGAGTTTTTTACAAAATGGCTGAATTTAGTGACACTGGAATGATTTGTTAGTTATTCTGTGGTAAATTATTTGTCTGCTGGAGTTTCGATTTATGATATTTCGCATTGGCATTGCAGTGGAATATCCATTGCAACCACTGTAGTGTGTAATCATGCTTGGTGAATTTAGCTTTGAAATCATCAGGGATTCTTCTTAAATTATTTTATGGATATTTGTCATTGCTTGTGCTTTGACAACTGTGGTCCTCTTTTCATGCAGAAATGACAAAAAACTTAGCCATGGTCTCCAACCCCGAGCTATTAAAGAAAAATTTCGGCCTATGCCTATATGCTCTCCAATTCTGCTTCCTACACCACATGCACTGGTGAGAATTCTTATCTCTCCCCCCATCTCCCATCCTTCTCACTCCCTCTCTTCCTCTGTCCTACACCAATATAGAATGCCAAGTATTCCTTTGTTAATCGGTTCACCATTTTTCGACACATTCTGTCTTATTTTCTTATATATTCTGCAAGAAAATATGCAAATATCAAGGGGGTGGCTGTCTTTTAAGAAAACAAAAACCGAACAAATTGTTGATGGACTAGAAATCCAAACTGCCCCCTGCCCCACTCTCTTAACAACCCAACAGGCCTTTTTCCCCAATCACAAAAGAGAAGTGAAAATAAATGCTAGGCCATGTGTTGCTAATCATGGAAGCTGTGCGGTTTCCTGCCCTGCATTTATTGTCTAAGGATACCGTGACATCCATAAATGGCTGTGGAAAAAGGCTGTTCTGCTTTGTTTAAATTTTTCACGGATAAACGATGTCTTTTATGGCGACCACCAACTACTGCTGTTGTTCCTTCATTGTAGGCATTGCGGATGATCTTGCAACTAGGTGTCAACCCTTCTTGGTTTAACACCTGCAGTACAACTATAGACAAGAGGCCTCACTTAATTCCTGGAACTGCTTCATTCAGAGGGGATCTTCGGAGTTACATGATTGATTTACCACCTGTTGGTGACTCTGTGGTGCCAGAAATGCTCCTCAAAGTATTAGAGCCTTATAGAAGAGAAGGTCAGTCATGGGTGGCCCGCCCAACATGTGCAATACATAAGAATCTTCTGTATGAACATTTGTTTAATTTGTTTTATACTTACACATTCCTGATGTTTCCATTGCTCAAGGCTGCATTCTTGATGATGAAACGGCTAGATTATATGCTATTGTAGTCAAGAAAGGTTGTGCTGCGAGGTTTGCATTTGCAGCTGCAATTTTTGGTGAAACCTCAGAAGCACTTTTCTGGTTGCAGTTGCCTCGTGCTCTTAAACATTTGATGGATAAGTTAGTTGCTAAGCCCACACAGAAAGCGCCTGTCTCAGCATTGACCCCGGAGCTCGATGACGTTACTATGCTGAATAGAATTTCATCAAAGGGGAAGTCAGTAACTGGAACTGAGAAAAGGGATTCATTGGTAAGTCATTTCAGGTTCTCACTTTGTACTACCTAGTGTTCTTACTTCCTTTCTTCTAGATTACAGATATTATCATGTTTAATCATTTAGAGTATTTTAATTCTTTACTGTAACTTGGGCTCTCTGTGTGACAGAATCAAGGCCAACTTAAATCAATGGCTTTCCAGAAAGAAGAACTACGGGAAAGTGCTTGCGAGCGCATTCCTTGGCATGAGAAATTGGAGGGAGAAGAGGCTATTCAGAACCGAGTACATGAGTGAGTTTATTACTTTGTGCATGCTTCAGATCGTTCTGTCTATTCATTGGTTGGAAGCAGCTCTAGCATATGAGCTGCCTTCTTTTGCTTTAGTATTTGGGTTCTAGAACGAGATGATTATATGTCACATTCTTGACAAGCAGGCTTGTATCTGTTGGGAACTTAGAAGCAGCAGTCAGTTTGTTGCTTTCTACTTCTCCTGAGAGCTCTTATTTCTATGTAAATGCTCTACGTGCAGTCGCTCTTTCGTCTGCTGTGTCAAGGTCTCTTCATGAGCTTGCAGTTAAGGTAAGCATCAATTTCGATCTGCTTATGTTTCAATGATAGCCCACAACCTGTGATGTGTATGAAAATGTTTACTTCTATGTGCATTCTGACTTGTTTGCTATCATGTGATCATCTAGGTTGTTGCGGCCAACATGGTCAGGACTGACAGGTCACTGTCCGGCACTCACCTTCTCTGTGCTGTTGGAAGGTATCAAGAAGCTTGTTCTCAGGTTAGGTTCTGCATCAAATTGTCTATCTGTATCTTCAATGTCTTTGAAATTGATTATATAACATTTGATCATATTTATATGCTTTTTTATAATTGTCTATAAGTTGATATACGTGGCAAATTTGACTTCTGACTTTAACATTGGATTTTTCATCATTTTCCGACAATTGTGTAAGTCGCATGGATCAAGTGTAAATAATTCTCAACAGTAAAAAAAAAAAACAAAAAAAAACAAAAGGTATTTATCCTGTTGTGATTCAATGACAATGGGAACGCTGGAGGAACATTCTTGTGACAGTCATGTTATGAGGTAGGTGCTCTCAGGTTTGGAACCTGCACTGCCCAAGACGGGGGGACTGCTATCCCTGGTCTGGGCTTTTCCTCTTGGATCTTGCTCTCAACGTTTGGATATCATAAATGTCTTGAGTGGTTTCTGGTGCTTGATGTTAGATTTAGTCCTTCAAAGCTGATAGCAGTAGCACTGCTCTTACATGTTCTTGGCCTTTACTGGACTCTTGAGAATTTATGGAGTCGGCAAGTCTTTTAGATCCTCATGTTACATAATGATGGCTTATGTTATGCCTCCAACTTTACATGCATGCATGCCTTTTCAGCACAAAACTGGATGAGCGAAAAAGACACAGAGATCATAATTTTGATGCCTCTGCAGGTTTATTGATGTTTCCAGTGATTTGGAATTTGTTTTTGTCCCATGATGTAGAGAGGATTTTTTGTTCCTTTAGCAGGGTGTTAAAGAGAGCAATGCTCATCTTTTGCTTGGCTGATGGAATATATTCACTTCTCTGCAGTTACAAGATGCAGGATGCTGGACTGATGCTGCGACTTTAGCAGCTACACATTTAAGCGGATCCGATTATGCAAGGTTCTTATTCTTTCCGTCATAGAAAACTTTAGGTTTCACGTAGCATTTTGAGGCTGCTGTTGCATCTTGCAAAATTGCACATCCTTTTCTAAATCAATTTCCATTTAATGCTATTATTCTTAATGCGGTCGCTTGTGCATGTGTAATACAACAAGCTCATATGCCACGTGTACAGCATCTATTGTCAATCAAACTTAAATCTCAGCAAGAGCTATTCATTGTCAACGGTGCACATCCGGGCATTGCATTGGTATAACTAATTTTGAACTAAGCTAATCTTTCTTGCAAATTGTAATTTTGTAGGGTGTTGTTAAGGTGGGCCAACCATGTCCTCCGCGCTGAACACAACATCTGGAGGTACTATCATTTTCTGGTTTTGATTACCTTACCATCAATTTGCAAATATTCTCTTCCTGACATTTGCAATGGACCATTGCAGGGCTCTTATTCTATATGTCGCAGCTGGTGCGTTACAAGATGCCCTTGCAACACTCCGGGAAGCACAACAGCCTGATACAGCTGCCATGTTTATACTTGCCTGCCATGAAGGTCATGCACAGTATATATCAAATTTAGGCAATTCAGATGATGAATCAGGGTCTTCGACCAAGGATGCTCTAGCTAACTTGCCAGGGTTGAATCCAGAGAACGAAGATGTCACTGCGGTTGGTGAATATTATGGGCAATACCAAAGAAAATTGGTGCATCTATGCATGGACTCCCAGCCATTTTCTGATAATTAACTTCGCATGCCATCCAATTTGGCAATGTCTCTCTCTTTAAAGTGATAGTGATGCCCATTTCATAGGGTGATCATTGCCAGTTGAAGACCATGTCCAGGTCAACTCACCCTGATTGCAGATTCAAATCTGAAAATTGACTTGGATTCTTATCTGGGGTTTGAAATCAAAACGAATAGAGGGATCCAACTGTCCATATAAACACTTCCAGCTGAACAACTTCTGGTAAAATTCTGTTGTAGAGAAAATCACTGAAGGTTGATCTGTGTTGTTGTAGCTCATGTTAAAAATTTCCACAGTAACAGTAAAGAACATATAAATTTTGGTAGGAATACACCGTAATATAGTCATTCATTTGTATTTATTTAAAAGCAGAAGAAATTTGATTTGAACTATGCTATTGATTTTCAAGTCACCTTCCGTGACATTTTTGAGGAAATAAACTACTATTGTTGATTGTTAAATGAGATTGTGTCGGTCAATCCATTGTAGGGCAAGTTGATACGATAGTCCATTTGTTCTTCAGCTAGGTAGTTCCGAGATCCTGTGTTTACTTATTTAGATCGGGCCTTTGCCTCTATTTCTTATCAAAAGAAAACAAATGAATGAAAAAAAAAAAAATCGTACCTTGAAGTTTGCTCAAGGTTGATCGGTGGTTGAATGATTTTGAACAAACTCCATCACTGCCAGAAAAGGAGTCGCTGGAGAAGAATGTCGTTGAAACTGTTGCATGGTAATAAGAAATTGAAGTGATGAAGAGTGAGTTCGTATTTTTGAAAAGCAAGGCAGAGGACTCAGGCTGAATCTCACTCAAACCAATATATCAATAATCTCAAAAGGTAAACAAAAGACAAAAACATAAGTTCAACAAATTCATTCGAAACCCCCAGCTTTTTTGCTGCCGTCGGTGATTGGCTCATCTCTCTCTGTTTTTTTTTTGGCCCAGTTCGTGACTTGTTGCCGTTCTCGAATGACAGACACATATTCATTCGAAACCCCAGCAAACCATACTCTCTTGTGATCCAAGAGTTGTTTTGGTTCGATCACAAAAGTTTTGCAGATTGGGACTTTGATTTTGTGACTATCCTCCCCGAGCCATGTTCCAAGACCCAGATTGGAACATGCCATCGGCACTCGGCGAAGCTTGCATGATTAAAAATCCAAAATCTGACCAAAACATTTCTTGTGTTATGAATAATGTACAAGATCGGTTTCAATGAAATTGTGTCGTGTTATGTCATTAGGGAGGAACAACAGCAAAACACAAACAACAAGAAACAGAGACGAGTCGGTCACAATTGATTGTATGTAAAGCAGCATAAAAATCGGAATTAGAGTCAAAAAGGCTACCAGGTTATGCATCCAAAATGCCCAGAAACCAAAAGTGAGTGAATGCTCAGGTAAATAGACAGGAACAAGACCGAAGTAAAGAAAGCAGCACCCCAATAAACAGGAACGAGCCTGAGTTCGTGAAACTTTGATCTGGATTCACCATCTCGTGGATGCATAAATATGGTGGCACATCTGCATGCAGGAATACAGAACGGTGCAGTTTCTTCCATGGATTACGCTTTGCACAAATAAGTAAAAGACCATTTAGGACTTGGGTAATGTTGACCTCTTCCTCAGCAAAATAATGAGTGATCAGAACTGGGAGGGCAAAGCACGATGCTTCCCCATGCCATAGTGAGGAACATAACAAGATCCATCAGGTTTCTGGCTTCAGAAGTAAGCCAACAACACCTTCTTCCATCTTTCTTTTTTCTGCATTCATGCAAAAGCTCATCAAAATGGTGGGACAGCTGGCTGCATTTTCACTAGTGTGCTGTTTAGTTCTTCCTTAAACTGGTACAAAAATTAACTCCGTATTAGAATTTGACCTCTTATGGTAATTCAAAACATATATAGACTTCTGCATCCCTTAATAAAACAGCACCAATTGACATGAAAAGTGGACACAGTAAGGAGACAAAATACCTTCAACAGCTTTGGTTCTCAATGAAAGAATCTTCTACGACATCGAGCAGATCCAAGTTCCTCATATTCAGCCTTGGTGACACACATTGCTTCAAAATCAGGACTGGATGCCAAAAGGGATCCACCTCGCCAAACACCTAGAATAGGACTGCACAAAAATTACAACAGTTTACCAATCGCGAAGCAGCAGCATTTCAAATACAAACTAATACTTTACAGGAGGGACAAGTTTACTCTTCTTGTGTGGTTATCTTCACTTGATAGTCATCCGGGACAAGAGGTCGGAGCTCCAGTTCACTGCAATTTTATCCAATATAAAGTTTCAGCTTTGCCTAAAAATAAAAGATTTCCAGTCTGTAAGCTAATGGGAAAAGAATATGAGCTTACAGTCTCTCAGCAAATCTAGGAAATAATGTGCTTCCACCAGTTAATATAATGCTGCCCAAGCACAAGATTTAAACAGTTATCACTTGCCATTGTGGAAATCAAAAATTAAAAGAAATACAGAGAACTGCTTAATGCATAAAATTGCAAAACTTTGTGAAAGCACCTTTGATAGAGTACAGGATGAAGAAGAGGATGGCAAGAGTTCACAGCTCGAACAATGCACTCTGCTAGTCCAGCCTGATTCATACCTGCAGAAATGGCTCAAATTGGCACCATTTTCAAGTTCACATTCCACAAGAAATAGGCAAAAATGAAAAACAATTTCCTCCTCTTAACTTCATTACACAACATCTGTCTACAAGATGAGTATATTTCCTGATACATTCTTTTCTCTCTGACAAATAGCATGCCTAATTACTAAAGCAAGTCTCCAAATATGTGCTTCTCGAACCATGTAGCAGCGGAGAGAAGCTCAAAGTGCTCACAGAAGTGTATTTCACATTTCTAATAGCAGGAAACAACACAAACCTAAATCTGCTGGGTGGAAAATCATCTCTGGAACCAGGAACCGTTCATTTGTTAGGTCAAACTCCTGTGCAGATGGCAAAATTATTACTCTACTAACTTTCAAAAGAAAGTTGATTTAACTAAAAAAGTTAGCAGACAATCCAAAAAAAAAAAAAACTCACATTTTTAGTTAAATCAACTTTCTTTCGCTCCATAACTTCAGTTCGATCCATACCCTTCCCTGTTTCTACGTATGCTCCATCATCCATAGTGAGATACTTATTTGCTTCATTTGGGTCTTTAACATAACCCTTAGTGTGGGTCACTCCGTCAGGTAGGACATAAGTACACCTAAAAAAATTGTCATTTCCTCGTCTCCTATTACAAAAAACTTCAAACTTTCAGAAACAAATTCAAAGAATCACCATTCCAATCAACAAATCTATAAAGTAAAACAATCATTTTTAATAAGCCAGCAGCAATCCAAAACACAAACACCCACTTCAAAAATATAGTCCGTTCTACATCTCCTACAACAAGATGCTCAAAATCTTAATAGCTGAAACCCAAAGAATCATCGCCTCCCTCCCTCCCTCCCTTATATTAAAATCTAACACTCCAAACTATCAAGATAACAGCTTTCCCTTTCTGCAAACATTTTAAGCCAATAACAAAAAATTGTCCTTTTCTTGTCTCCTATCATATGTTCCTCAAAATCTTAATAAACAAAGCCAAAACAATCGCCATTTCTACTCACAAACAAAATAGAGCCTAAAACTGTAGGCTAACAACATAACAGAATTCCATTTTTTTTTTTTCACATTATTAGCCAACAAACCCAGAACAGAAGACAACCACACCTCAAAGAATTGTCAAATTCCTCAAAATCTAACCAACAAAAAACCCAAAAAAAAAAAAAGAATTTGTACTAGCTAACAAAATAAAGCCCAACACTTTTCATAATAACAGACACAACATTCCGTTTTCATCGCATTATAAGCTAAACAGAAACCAAAAACATACACGAACAAAAACCAACCTTGCGATCTTCAAGTCTCTAGCAACATCAAGAGAAACAAAGCACAACTTCTCCTTAACATCATCCATCAGAAAACTCTCATCCATAACACTAACACTCCTATAAGACACCAATTCCTTCAAAAAATTCGTCAACGCTTTCCCTCCTAAATCAATCCTTTTCACCCCATAATTCAACGTAAAGTTCTGAAACACAGGCGCAGCATGAGTAAAACTAAACCCACAATCCACAACCAAACTACATTGCGCTTTTGAAACCAACCCACATGGCCTTTTACTGGCCTCGTAAAGATGGACCAACTTCGGCGAATCAGCAACGAACATAGAATCAAACCCAAAGTCTTCAAAAACAAGCTCATCAGTCGCGCGCTGAGTTGATGGGAGAGAAAACAATGGTTCTGTTAGTAGTAAAGAAGTGTTTGCTGGATTTATGCGGAGGAGATTACTGAAGAGGTGGTTCCAAATATCGCGTTGGAGATCCGGGTTTATTAGGTAGCCTCTGTCTATGGGGCGGCGGACGGCGGCGGAGGTGAGGTCTTCTTCGGTGGTGGCAGCGGTAGTTGTGGGAGTGGGATGGATGAATTTTTTGGAGGAGAGAGGACGGTAGAGGCAGTTGGGGATTACGGTGGAGGGGTCCCGTTCGCCTCCGTAGCCGGCTTTTATTAGGCCACCGCCGTTGTCGAGGACGATTATGTTTGACATGTCGTTTGAGGAGTAGGAAGAGGGTGCCTTTGTGTGGGACTTGAAGTTGTTGTGCACTAATTGGGGTTTTGGCCTTTTTCTATTTTAGGGTTTAGTAATCAATTTATTAATTAGTTGATTGATTTGTGAGAACTTGAGATAAAGGTTTGAGGGTTTATGTGTTTCGATTTTCATGGCATGATCAAGAAATTCTTTAGACGTTTAGGGTTTAAGGATTGATTAATCGAAAAGGGGTTTAAGGATTGGAAGCAAAAGGAGTTACAAGTTGGTCACTATAGTTTATTGAAACTTGTTATTTAGTCCTTATAGTAACTAAAGTAATTAAAAAGTCACTTGATCAGGATTGACTATTCTCAATTAGTAATTTTTTTTTCCCAAAATCCTTCTTTAGTCCATCAAATTTTACTATTTTATTTTTATCTCTCTCTCCTTTATTTCTTCTTCTTCTTCTTTTTCAAAAAACAAAAGAACAAAATTAATTGAAAAATAATATAAAATTGACGAAAATAAAGATTTAAAGATGTAGTAATTTTTGTGAAATCACAAGAATTATCTAATTAGTTGCATTAGCTAAAACTAAAATACTGAATTATAGTAATTAATTCAAACAAAAAGATTTTTAAATAGATAAACAAATGGATTAAGAATAAAACAAACAGAAAATAGGGTGCATGGACCATGCGGTTGTCTGACGAGGTCTAAACGTGGTTGCTTGCGCTGGTTCTGGTTGTCAGTGGCAAAAAGTCAAAACATCGGCATTTTCATTGTTACCATCTTTATGGATATTACATTCTTTTGTTTAATGTAATAAAAGAAGATAGTACTATTATTTCTTTGATTATTTTTGTCGAAGCTTGAATCCAACTCAGATTAGTTATTTGGGAAATCAAAAGTCGTAATCCTAAATATTGGAGTGATGCTTAAAAAGGTAAATAAGAACTGCTTGCATTTGCGTTTACTTCATCTTGTCGTCCTCAATCTCTCTCGCCATCACCAAGCATATTAATTAATAGACAACAGGATTGACCCAAAGAAGCACGAATTGGTCATGGTCAGGATAGGCTGATTGGACCGGCGACCAGTCTTTCACATTGAGGACTCAGTCAGCTCAAGTTATTAAACGATGAGGGTGATGATGAGGGTGGTAGTGACGACCATAAACCGAGGGAATCAATGCCCCTTCCATGCCTGTCAAAGTTGACACGTTCAAATTCTCCTGGTCAGGAGATTTTCGTCGGTTCAAAACTTGAAAGTGGCAAATTAAGAAATGAAGCAAAGCTTCTATAACTCCAAAATTCAGACGAGGTTGCCTGTCAGAAGAAGTTTGGAGGCAGGCATGCAGCCTCCACAAGAACTTTGAACAACAGGGTAAACTACAGAGAGACATAAAAGACAAGAATGATGGTTTCATTGCTGGGTGAAAATTCAATGGAAAAATGAGGAAATAAAATAATGTTCACGTTGTACGGTAATATAACACTTCCAAAAATCTTATATGTCCCTTGCTCCCTGTGATGCAAGTAACTACTAATTACATAAAAGAATCACAATGGGCAGCATTATGAACTTGCAAAAAATCTTCAGAAAGTGATGCAGATAAGGAAAAAAGTCTGATAATAATGTGCATCATAGGTAACGCAAGGAGGTCATCAAGATTGAAGACAAACGACTTAATAGGACTGATAGAAGTACCCTCCCTGCTGCCCGATGCGGCTGACCTGTGGGATTCCATAAGGCATCATCATTGGATGAGGATTAGGGCCAGAGTAACCAGAGGCACCACTAATCTTGGCAAAACTCACTTGACCGTGCATCCCGTCCCTTCCATAATGTTGCCAGAGATGCTGTTCGTCTACTAGCAAATGCTGCTTCTTCTCCATGTCCGCTATCTGCACATAGGAAGGAGGTGGAACTGCAAGGGAGGCAGCAAATGGATCCTGGTTCCCAACAGGTTGTATCGTTCCATTAGGAGCGGGCAGTGCCAACACCGGTGTGGCGCTCTTGCCCACGCCGGGCAATGCCACACTACTTTCACTCCTGCCAGTAAGTTGTGTTGTGCTCACATGGTGCCTTACTGCCCCGTGATCATACATTCCATTCAATAGCAGCGAATCAAAACCACCCCCTAAAGTAGCTTTCTGATTTGATAGATTGCTAGCTGATTCCACCAATGCCAATTCCCAATCTGCTTGACCACTCTGAGTAGCTGGGGTCTGCCACGCTGAAGTTACTTCAGGCTCATCTGATGTGAAAGCTACCCACGCACCGTTTGCATTTGTGCTTGGGGGTCCAGAGAACAGAGCCAGAGCCAATTTGTTGCCCTGCTCGTCTGCTGAAACGCCATCATCCTTTAGATTTACCAAATCTTCTATCACCTGCTGAGGCTGAGGCTGTGGCTTAGGCTGCGTCTCAGGAGGCGGTGGAGGGGTATAACTCTCTGGTGGAGGAAGAGCCTTGACCTCATTCGTATCGGGTTCTTGGTCTTGCATATACTGAACCTTCTCCTCCATATTTCTCTCAGGACTCTTAGTTCGCCTACTAGTCATTTCTCTCAAAAATTCCCCAAGGTTCCCTAAAAGATTTTCTGTAATCTTCTTCACTTCAGGGTAATCGGATGATCTTCCAATTCCCATGTCTTTACACCAACCATAAAACACCACCAGCTCGTCAACTATTTTGGCTGCACCAGCATAAATATCAAAACCTTTAAGACAATATGCGTACTCCATCTCAGTAAATCTATCCAACAATACCCCCAATGCCTCACAAATCTCAGTGTATAGCCCAAAACTCTCCTTCACCACCTGGTAAAGGGCTAAAAGCACCAACCTATCATTCTTGGCGATTCCTGTTGGCCTACAAGCCAAAACTCTATCAATGATCCTCAACTGCGAGTCCAATATGCCTAAAAGCCTCTCCGGCTTCATTTCCCTAATTGGCGTTACCTCCTTATTCTGTTCTCGCCTAACCAAATCACCATGCAAATCACCATAAGACCTCGATCTCTTAGGCATCCCATACTCAAAATCACCCCTATTCTCTCTACGTCTAGACCCAAAATCACCCTCATCAAATTTCCTTTCATCCTCTCTCACTTTCCTCTCAAAAACAGCAAACTCAACCTTCTCATCAAGATACATAGCGTAAAACCTTACAAACACCGTATGATCCCACGAATTGGAATGTGCCTCATCTCTAAAATCCGACATATTCAAAACACGCATCCCTCTCCTCGTTGCATGCAATAACTCCTCCTCAAACAAAGGGTGTCCATCAATCAAAACCCTATGAACAAGAGTCAAAGCCTTTAAAGCCACAATCCAATCACGGGTTTTACTTATCCTTTTCGATATGGTAGCAACACAAGCATTCACATAACCCCTTGAACTCGAAATACGGCTGATAATCTCCCTGTAATACTTCTCGTCAGCGGGATCCTCATCATGACTAGTAGCTTTAACAACCAAAACCTCAAGTTCTGGTGATGCATTCGCTGCCACTTTCGCTATACTTATACTTGTTTGATCTTTCACAGCCCCAATTGCTTTACGTAGTGCCATTTTCTCTTGTAGCCACAAAAACTCAACCTGTATCATAACAAAAAGAAGAAGAAGAAGAAGAAGAAGAAAAATCAAAACCAAGCAAAGTTGAAATCTTTTTAACTGAGTTCATATCAAACAACCCTAAACTACATCTTTATCAATAAAACACCAACTGAGGTGTTTTACATTTAACCTTTTCTTGATTTCTTTCTCGATTCTTGATCAGTCAAAAAATCAGACAAAAGAGAAAAAAGACAGTACCTTTGAAGGCCCAGGTGCTATGAAGGTGGAAATGAGAGATCTGTGGTGATAATGGTGACTGTATATATCCAAGAAGAGATTGACACTGTAGTGAAAGACAGAGTCTCTCTCTTTTTCCTCTCTTTGAGAGTCTTTCTGTTTCTTTCTTTCTTGCTTGGCTTGTGCTTTCTTTCTCTACGCGTGCGTATGCTATTTATTAGAGGCAACAAAGGCGGGCTTTGGAAAAAGCGCGTAATGGACGGTGAGATGATCACAGGAAAGAAGATAAAGGCTGCGTTTGATGATTTTGACGTTTTTTTGAAAAACAATTTCTTAAAACGCTGGGGTTTTTCTTTGTTCAATTAATCATCTTTACTTTTAACGGATTAATAAAGTGGAGGAGAATTCTTTTCCGTTTCCATCAAGTTTTGAGTTTGCTATGTTTTTCCAAAAAGTCCACGCCACCATATTCCTTTGATAGAATTTGGCTTGTATGGGATGAATGGATCTTGCTTGCCATCTATTTAAGGATGCGAGGTGAGTTTAGATTTGATTTGATTTGATGATGATACATTAGTACAAGGGATGCGTTACGGTTTTTCTGAAATGGTAATGTCGTAAAAACCTTAAAAAGTTATGTTAGAAAATGATTAAAATTGCATATGTTTTATTTTATAATATGTGGTCGTATATAAAACCACATCACAACATCACAGTAGTCTGATGGTGACTTGCTTACAAAAATTAAAACTGAAAAATCATTAATTATCGCAACATTTAACTGTCACTAATTAATACATATTAGCTTTTAAAAAATTCGAACAAATAAATTATTTGAAAAATAAATTGAAAGATAAAATCCAGCTTATCTTTCAACGCTACCTAATCTTGTAGTTCCACCCAATCCATATATATATATATAAGTTTTCTTTTTATAAGGATTAATAAAATAATTTATTTTGGTTTTTTATCCCATATTGTAAGGTGAATCTTAAAAGATATGAAAGACTTTTCTCAAAATCATATATAGATTATTATGGAATACGGCTTTTTATAAAATTTTATATGTATTTATGAGATCGAGAATGAAATTTTGTTTACTTTTTTTAAATTGAGTATCCATTTTCCTTTTTTTCTTATTAGAATTGAAAATTTTGTATTTTTTATATCCACACGATTGAATTCTTGAGTTTTTGAAACAGTGTAAAAAGAAAGTGCTTTCGAAGCATTTCGAATCATTGCTATATATATATAATCCAGAAGAATTAAAGATGTGTTCTTTCCTACTGTTAGCTATTTAACGGCAAAGACCTCTCATTTAACGGCGCCACACCCCATGATCTAACCGCCAATTTCCCGCGAATCTCCATTTCCTTCTGTTTCTATCTTCTCTCCCTAACCCAACCCAAGTCCACTCGCGGATCTAACTCACTCTAAAAAAATGTTCGTTCTCCGAGTCCACTCAGTGGACACAGACCATCCTTTATCTCTCGAAGAAACCACCTTCATCTCCGCCACCACCACTTCCGCAGCCGCCTCCGCTGCCGCCACCAAATTCAATGAAAGGAGAGGCATTTCACATCTGTATCGAAACGCATCGTATAAATCCTCACTTCCAAACCCTAATCCTAACTCTCGATCCACTTCTCTCTTCGTCGTTGCCGTCCCTAACTACTTCTCCTCCGACGACTTCATCAGATTCTGCGGTTCCCACATTGACCATGTCCATGAACTCCTTTTCATCAGGTACTACCGAAAACCCTAATTTTTATCGCAGCTTGAAAATTCTGTCTAAAAGAAGCTTAAATTTACCATTTCTGTTATTGAAAGTGCTAATTTTCTACTGTTAAGAGCAATAAATTGAATTACTCTTATAAAAAACCGTAATTTATTTGTGTTTATGCAATTTTTTTTTTTTTTTTTTTGTTAGGAATGATGGAATGGAAGATAGGTACAGTGTGTTAATAAAGCTTGATAATCAAGTAACAGCTGATAGATTCTATAATAGTTTCAACGAGAAGCGATTTTCGCCATCCGAGGTTGGTTAGTCTGAGATTTGGTTTTGGTTGTGTTGATTTTGTTTTTGTTTTAAAGTAAATTGATGATTATAAATTTGTTTATTTAATGATGGGAATATTTGTAGGCAGAGATTTGCCATATACTATATGTGCGTTCTGTGGAATACACGGAATCTGCGGAGATAGCTAGCACTCCCCCAGAAGAATTCACTGAGTTGCCTACTTGTCCGATTTGTTTTGGTTAGTAGCATGTTGTTTTTTTTTTTTTTTTGGGTTGGAGTGAGAAAGTGTGATTGGTTTTTGGATTATGGTATCTTGATTTTGGTGTTTTGTTACTCTCAGAGAGATTGGACCCGGATACTAGTGGAATACGCAGTACACTTTGTGATCATTCGTTTCAATGTTCATGCACTTCAAAATGGACATACTTGTCTTGCCAGGTAAGCTAGTTTTTTTATTTGGTCTAGGTTATCGAGCGTTTTACTATGCTGACATTGCACATCATAAACTCTGTTTTTGGTGCTAAGTGAGCAACTTGGCTTGTATGGTAAAAGATGAATTCATCTATTTTTGCTAGCACAACGTGATGTCATACCATGATTATGAATAGGTCTTATTGGTACACCAACAGCTTTCTTGATTCCTTTCCAATCAAAAAGCTTCAATTTCTTTTACGCTTCCATGCATGTTCTTGAGTTTTCAACGCTGTCAGTCCGTAGTAGTTTCTTGAAGTTCAGTGCTTGACTCAAAAGTGCTGAATTCTGTCTGTTGTACATTTGTTGGGATGAATTATTTAGATAAGTTGCCTAACTATATTCCTAACTTTTGGCTGGTGTAATTTTATCTGATGAATGTCTCTTGATTTCTTTTGGTTGCCCATAAAAGCTAATACCATTTATTGTGTTTGCTGTCTTTCAAATGACTGAATCTTCAAGAAATGTTAATGTGGAAGTGTTTGGTCTTGAGTTGAGAAATCATGACTGTTTCTCTGTTTGGTGTCCTTCTATCTTAGCAACTTCAGAAGGGATTTAAACAGGGTTAGGAGCATGGGAACTTCTATAGCAACTATACATTTGTTGATAATCGAGTTGTCGATATATTGTATCACTTAGGCAATGGAAAAGGGCAAGAGACGAGAAACTGTAGTATCATAACTATAATAAGAATCGAAGGATACATTTGTTGGAGTTCTATGTTTCTCTTTTTCCATGTAGAACAAAATAAGTCCCAACAGGACATGGAAATCATAATATTCTGGAGATTTAGTTGATGCATCTTTATTTACGAATTTAATTGCTGTGTCTTGATAATACTCGAATGGAAGTGATTTGGTTATCCTGACTGGATTTTGATTTAATTTACTCATTTTGTCAGGTCTGTCGACTTTGCCAGCAGCAGGATGAGAAGCCAGCATGTTCTGTTTGTGGAACTTTAGAAAATTTGTGGGTTTGTCTGATATGCGGTTTTGTAGGATGTGGAAGGTAATGAGTGTGATGCTTTGCTTGCTGAGTATTCTTATTTGAAGAATCTGAACATACTATTTAAATTTCGTTGTTTATACGATAATTGTAAGTTATCCTTGTCACTTGGTGAGAGTAAATGATTACCGATGCCTTTTTTCTGAATTCAGATATAAAGAAGGTCATGCTAAAAGGCACTGGCAAGATACACAGCATTGTTATTCTCTTGATTTGAGAACACAACAAATTTGGGACTATGTTGGTGACAACTATGTTCATCGGCTGAGCCACTCAAAAACTGATGGCAAGTTGATAGATACAAAATCCCGTTGCATGTCATTTGAAGGAGATTGTGGTACTTGTGGATGTAGTGAGGATTCTGGAATTAGCGGGGCTCTCTTTAGCAGCAAAGTTGAAGCAGTACGTATTTAGATATAAATATCTTTTGAGCTTGTGGACATTAATTCTGAATTACTTGTCTATTACAGCCAAAACTAAAGGTGGACAAACTTTTTATTATGGAATTTTACCTTGCATGATACTGTGTTCAGGAATTTGATAGGAAGTTTGTAGCTCTTGCTTTGCACATAGGCATAATTAATGCAAGAACTAGCTTGTCGGCCTTCTCATGTACATGCATTGACTTTGTTTTACATGCTTATAATAGATTGCAGATGAGTACAATCGTCTTTTGGCAACTCAGCTGGAGGCTCAAAGACAAGTAAGCACACAGTTTCCAGCATCTCACCACCTCCTCTTTCTTTTTCCTTGGCTGGTTTGCTGTTGATCTCTAATTTTCTCATTTGTGAACTTCGTCTCTAATTTCTTGTTGAACAAATTCTCTAAATTGTTTTTTTTTTCCCTTCCAATTTCACATTGCACTCTTTCAGCATTATGAATCTCTAATTATCGAGGCCAAAAGTAAAAGAGAAAGTTGCATTTCAGAAGCAATGGAGAAGGCCGTGACTTCTACAATCCAGGATATCCAAACTAAATTGGAAAAATGTGAACAAGAAAAAAATGCTGTTGTAGATGTAAGTATTTGCATATCTCAATAAGCTTTCAGCATTTGTATAAGTGATAAAGGCGATAGCATTGGTTTCTAGCAATTGGTATCCTAATATATTCACTGCTTTCTGTTCTTAGATCAATCGAGATCTCATTAAGAATCAAGAAATTTGGCGTAAAAAGGTCAAGGAAATTGCAGAGAGGTATGCTTTCCATCCCCTCCCTACCCCTCTCCTTTGGGGGCAGGATTTGTTGATTTGATTCTCTCATCCGGATGATGATATTCCTGGATAAGATGGTCAGAATAAATATTTCTTCTTGTTTCTTTTATTCCTACTAGCTTTTTGGTGGGGGAATAGGGATTTAGGGAACGGGAGGGTATTGCAAATGTGATTTGTCCTTGAACTAATATTACTCTGTGTTTTCATGTATATCTCTGACTTCATGCTGTAGAAGGTAGACTTTGTTTCCATTGGAATTGATTTATGCGGAGAAATCAACTTACCCGCATTAGTTTGTTTTGCTTCTGTGCATATGTTGGATGTACAACTTGCACTGAATCCTTGCATTCTTTTCCCTCTCTTCTCTATTTGATGAAAGAAAAATTGTTTTGCTTTTTTTTTTTTTTTTTTTTTTTTTTTTTTTTTTTTTTAAGGGAAACTTCATCTTTATCGTCAAGGGATGAGAGAATACTAGATCTGGAAGAACAGGTGATACAATAAACTTCAAATTTTATCTAGTGATTGATTGAAAATACTGGTCTTGCAATAGTTGAAATACTATTTGCAGATTCGAGATCTTACAGTCTACATAGAAGCACAGAAAACACTGGGTATCATGACAGGTACAGATGAGATTAAAGGAGGGACATTGTTACCTGTACCTCCGAAGCAGTCTTCGCCAGCCAATAACAGAAAACACACGAAACTGGGTCGCAAACGGAATTAGATATAGCACCACTGTGTTATTAACTTGAATAAAGTTGATAAATGCTGCATCTTTCGTATTTGTATTTAACTTTGAAAAAATGTAGCCAAAAAAGCCGCCAGATAGGAAAATTGCTTTTCTGTGAAATGAAATTCTGGGATTCTCATTTCTACTGCCTCCTGGTTCAGTTTCCTTGTCTTTCTAAGTAAAATCGTTTTATTCACTAGTATATACGCTAAGATATAGATTGGCGATTGAACCAGCGACCATGTCAGAAAAGAAGTGTAGATCACTATGAAAATGGATACACTGGCAATTACACGGATAAATTTCTTTCTTTTGACGTGAGGTTTTCCATCGAAAAAATATTTAAGAGTTTTTCATAGGGATATCTGAGACGTGCTGCTTAGGTAGATGTAGACACAGAGTGTAATACAACAAGTGCTGCCTCTGCAAGGGGGTGCAGGGTGCTTGGAGAAAGCTTAAACGGGTTTGAAGGCTGAGTTTGGGCCGCTATTCAATTTTGCTTTCATTCGTGTGGACTTGGGCACAGTCATCAGCTAAGAGAGATGACCCAAGGCAAAGAATCTCAACTAGTGATAGAATCAACCATGGAGAAGGGTCAGAGAATAAGAGATTCAGAAAAAAAAAATACATACTACTATTGAAAAGAAATACGAGTCAAAAGCCACTAATATTTCCTGCTCGGAACTAGAGAAAAAAATTGAAAAAAAAAAAATTAGATTACTATCCTTGAAACTGGATAAAAATGAACAGATAAAACCACCAGTTCTCCTGGCCAAACCAACTCAAGTTCCTTCCTAAAAATTACCTTTAAAATTCTATAGTCAGAACTTCACCTTCAGTTTTTCTTTACTTTTCCTTTTCTTTTTCTCTTGACATTTGACTTCTAAAATGTACAACCATAAACTCGTGCTTCTCCAATCATTTCTAACGAGGGGAACCGAGAACATCATGCCTCGGGAAGCAAAATGATTACACTGGATTGCAAGTATGCTAAACCTATAGTACCTAATTTCCACAGCTTCCCCTCGAAAATCACATTGTGGTGGGCCCAGGGAGCGGGACTGCATGGAAAGCATAGACAATAAAGCTCCTTGTTGAAAGTCATGCACATGACTACCTTTGAGGTTGTTCAGGACCAGCAGCACCAGAAGTTGTACTCGGGGCCAGCACCATTTTCAACTGGAGGCGAGGTCCCCCATTTACCTTCTGAGTCCGATGGCTCAAGCACATGAACTCCACCATCTGTCAGTCCTAATGCAAATTGATCGGGCTCGGTGGGATGTGCAGCAATGACAAGAGGATATACTCTTAAGCTGCTAAAATGACGTCATCAAACAGACCAAACAAGCAAAGATTATTAGAATGGTTGGAATCTTTAAAGAAGGGACATGAAACCAAAAGATAGGGGATGAAAAATGCAGCAACCTTGGATTGGGAGGTAAATAAGCAGTAGAATTGATTCTGCATCTCAATCTGAGCGTTGAAGCAGTGAGAACACCCACGCTTCCATCTTCAAAGCTAACATATATAGACTGGCTATCACAGGAATATGTAGCATGCGTGATTGGACCACTTGCTTCTGGAGGGAACCACTGTATGAAGAGGATACAGTTTCATAGAAAGAAAATGTCGGAAGCTTTGAAGACAAAATTCCAAAAACTGGAATATATCAACAGATTTTTGCAAAACCATTTCACCATATGCATGCAAATATATCATATGATTAAAATCCATGTGACAGAAATGAGAGAACCATTTATATGAAATAACAAATGAGGAGTGCAACTGTAGTATTTGTAGAAACAAAGCCAACCAGCTTGCGGCATTCCAATTTCGGCACTTCATATATAGCTATCTGTGTTTCATGAACTGCAAGCAAATGTATCTGGTCAATGTGAAATTGAACACGAGTATCTGCAAGAGAGGGTGCAGGTCGTCCACTTGGAATTTGCAAGAGTTTACTAGTTTGCTTCTCCCATGCATCTGTGCTCCAAACACACAACTGTAGAGGGAAAACATTTGCAGAACTGAGTGACTAATTCCAACATCAAACACTTGATGAATATACAAGCTACTTTATATGAGGCAATTGGATGCACAAGCGGATAAAAGACAGCAGAATTCTATTACCTAGAAAACCACACAAGAAAAGCATTAGAAAGGTATGTGAAATCTAAAAATCCATGAATAAAAAGTTTCCAGATAAAGCTCAAATCACTGTCCCTAAAATGATCTCAAGTCCAACTGCCAAAATGGAAAAAAACAAGTCAAGCCTTTCCTTGTAACTGTCATTTGCTAATCGGTCCTCCAGACTTCTCTGAAATCCGTTCCTTAAATCATAGGGCTTAATTGCTTAATCTATGGTAACACACAGAAACTGACTTACATTACCAATAATTCTTACCTGAGAGTCAGCTCCAAAAGACACCAGGACATTTAGCGAGTGTGAGAAGGCGAGGCCTGTAATTCTTTTCTGATGACCTTTTAACTTCGTTTTAACCTGTGAAATGGAACATTTCAAATTGTCTATCCTCATGCTATTCTACCTCCAATAAAAATTTAAAATTTTGAGGCATCAAAGCAATACCTCATCAACCCTGACATTGTACATTTGTATAGAAGAGTCCTCCATGCCAATAGCAATGATATTGTTGTCTTGAGGGTGAAATGCTAAAAACGTTGCAGCTGGTGGTGGGGCCATGAATGTTGTCATTGGCTGCAATCAAGAAAAATGGCCAATAAATATAACAAGGACATAACAAACTGCATAGCAAAACTAGAATTAAATGTGTTGAGAACATGTCTTCACTGAAAGGCCACCCAGACTCATCTGCAAACCGGTAACTAACCCTAAATATTTCTTCGTTCCACAATTTAATACAGAAATAAAAATTGCAATAACTTATCTGGTATATATCCTACCAAACATTTTAGTTTTCCAAAATGAAATATCATATATTATGTTACTAAAAAAAATGTTAAGGGTACAAATTCAATTGCAACAAGAATCATAAGGCCATTCATTGACAAAGTTCTTCATGTACCACAAAAAATTCAATCAAGCACAGCGAATTGAGCTTAAATAGAGAAAATAGTGATAGACCATTTACCTTAAATGTCATCATATTGAAAAGAGAAATTTTCCCTCCTGAAGCTGACATGACATAAGAATTATTCTTTGAAAGTGCAAAGCACGGAACAGCATCTTCAGGGTTCGTGTCACTAATCTCATTAGTCATCAAAATTCCGCTGGAAGGTTGTCATAATTGAGGCGGTACATTGGCAGTGGCCTAGATCAGGTAAAACCTTTGTTGAAGGCAAGGGTTTTAAAATCAACAGAACAATATAGACATGCTAACTTCCAACATGGAAAATCAAGTAGCTTCAAAGCACAAACCTTCCCACACACAAAAAAATAACAAAACAATAATTATAAAATAAAAAATAAAAAATAAAAGAAGAAGAACAAAAAAAGAAAATGTTGGACAATAAAGATACCTTCCCAGCCAGATTTCGATCGTTTCTCTGCCACTTCCAAAGCTTGTGCACTGCATTAGATGCTAATGCCAAGATGGCTACTCCTGAATTTGTATAAATTAATCTAGAAACCTGAAACAATTGTCACCAAACCCATATAGTTGCAACTTACAGGTCTTTTAACTTCAAGAACAGTACAAAACAATCTCAAATGCACAAAACTTCAGCTGCAAGAAAAGAAAAGGAAAAACTTTCAAACAACACCAGTTTAGAATTTTGGCTGCAAAAAACAACAATTAAATAATGAAAGTTAAAAAATTTGACCGACAGACAGATCCTCATGCCTAGACCGTAGCTGCTAGTCTTTGACACCAAAACTACAAGTATTAACAAGCCAAAAAGTGTACATCCTGCATAAAACGATATAACTATCCCATTGCATTTAATGTCTCCCGCAATAAGTGATATGAACTTGCAGGTCAATTCATTATGCCAGCCACAGTGACGCAATATAGTCACATATACAAGCAGATCAGAAAGGGAAGAACACGAGTGCATAGAAGGAAACAACTGTATTAAATTTTCAGCGGTATTATTGAGTACAATCATTTTTCTAAAATCAACATGACATGAATAAATAGCACACTAACATCCTTCTAATGACATTTGCTAAAAGAAGACCATACCCTCATGGCAGTCAAGCTATCAGGGAGCCTCAGGGAGCGGCACTGTGATGAATCATTTATTTCTGTTAATTTCCAGATCCTAGATTTTTCAACCGATTCATCTTGAATTTTAGGCTTCACGTCAACTAAACTTCGAACTGTCACTATTCTGTAGAAACTCAAAACAAAAGGAAAATATCAAATCATTGAATGTATAAATAAATTCTTTTGCACTGAGAAGCATAAATGACAATAGCATAAATGAGATTACTCTGGCAGGACGGGTAACACCTACCATTCCAACCACGGGCGCTGCAGGAGCAGCTTGATCATCGATGCTGGTTCCAACAGTGGCATTGGCAGGAGGAAAATTGCCCATTGTGGGGCCCTGCATACAAATCATGCATTAATATAGTTGCATGAGATGCGACACATTCAGATAATTACGTTCTAATTGCATAAATGTGCTAAAAGAATTTTCATGCCTGTAAAACTTTACCTTCACAACAGCAGTAGAAGCAGCTCTAGAAGCATCAAATGTAAGACTCTCCACTGTTCGGAGCAGCCTCATCCCATCTGAATTTGCTAGAATTTTGATGCTATTGTCATTTGTTGAGACAGCTAATAGTGTTCCATCCTTGTTAAATCTAATACAAGGAGAAGCCTGCAAATTTATGATAACAGAGTTGTTAAATGTGAGCACACTAGTCAAAGATTTTAGAACTGCTCATTTCAGGTAGGAATTCAGAATTTAATTATGTTTTATTTTGGTTCCTTACCTTTAGTGGAACTATTGTTAAATTTTCCTGTTCCTACTGGATTTTGGTTTTACTATCTTATGCTTGCTTATATTGCACATATGCATAGCATCTTAGTTGCTCTTTCAAGACAATTTATGAATATTAGTTGCCCTAAATAAATAGAGTTTCAGAAATGGGTTCTCTTGGGCTTTTAGATTTTGTTTACTACTTGATTGTACATCATAAGGGCTTAATCAGACCGATTTAACAAGAAAGAAAGGCCATTGCAACTTTACCGGCAATCCACCCTCTGCATCAATACTTGTCAATATGTTGACATTATCCATGTCCCAAAACTTGATCGTGAACTCATCACCGGCTGCCAAGAATCGATTCTTAGTGGTATCAAACTTCACAACGCAGCAGAACGCTTTGCAAGACCATTATAGGCACGCTTCACAGTTCCATCGCTTTCATTCCACTCCACCAAGTGTGATTCTCCTACTTTGTTGGTCCCACATGAGAATAACCTGCAAGTTGTCCATAAAGATGAAATGAATAACTCGGTCGAGAGAAAACAGAACAAGAAAGATCAATCTCCCGTCACTGGCCGAAAACATAAATCTATAAAGAATGTACACAAACCTAGTTCCATCAGCACTGTATGCCATTGTGGTAGACGAATGCCCTGGAGCATCATAGTCAACTCTTGAACCCATGTGATCGTACAACCATGCCTTTATCTTTCCATCAATTGCCGTTGAAAAGATAAACTGGGAGAAGGTACGAAAGAAATAAAATTAAAGAGTAAAAAGGATAAATACTTGGAAAATTGAAGAGTAACACCTCTCTCCCTCTCTTAATACTCTTTAGCCTCACTTTATTCTCTCAAAAATAATTTTTCCATCTCTATGCTTCTACAATGTCCAACTCCCACTTTCTCTCCAATCTCCCTTTTCAGTGTTCTTTTGTTTTTGTGTCAAACAGTTTCTGTGTGGGAAGTTCCCAGAATATTTCATTCTCTGTCTATGTTTTTACACATCTGTCATTTAAAATTGATTTCGAAAATCTTTATCAAATTTTACAATTTGATTCAGATCTCAATTCAAAAAATTAGGATTTAAACTAGCACTGAGTCTCCATGGGCCAACTGCTTACGAAACCGATTGCTAATTTTGTTTTGGCATTTATCAAACAGAAATGAGTAAAAACTGGGGATGGAGAGGGCTCAATTAACATCCTATTTATTACCTGAATATTTTCCTTGTGATGTGGGCACACAGAATATACAGGTGCAAAATGACCTTGAAAATTGAACAGTTTAGTCCCCACAACTGCATCCCAAACCTGCAGAATCTCAAACTCTTAGAAAGCCCTTTTGCTTGCATGTAGATGCATTATATAGAGATGCTGGAAAACATACCCTGATGGTCCTGTCATTGCCACAAGTGACAACAGCAAGTTGTTTGTTTGGGTAAGAGAAAGCAAGATCATTGACATTCCCATTATGAGCATCGATCTAAAACACAAGGAAAAATTCACACAGGTTTCAGTATGTCACCACAGGATTACAACATAACAAATGAATACACCAAGGTTTCTTTTTTTTATTTGGTAAAAAAAAAAATCCATGCGTTGAAGATAGATTTATTAGCTGGAAAGACACTGAGCTTCAATGATATCAAATACTGGCACAAACCTCAAGGTGATTTCTTATGTCATCACCGCCATGGTAGGAGTATACGTGCATAATGTGCTTGGAGTATGCAACACCTAGAAGGAAGAAAAAAAGTAGTATATCTGGTAAGTTTCCTGGTTTTTTATTCAGAAAAATGTTTTGTCTTTCATGCAGAACAGGCTAAAAAGATGGAATTTTAACATACCAAATAAATTTCCATCAGGACTCCACGCCACACGGTTAACAGATGCTGCATAATCATTGGACAGAGATGCCTACACAATAATCAGTCGATTAACCTTAATCTGATAATATAACAGCTCCAGAAAGTATCATAATTACTTCATTCCATTAAACTTGTTGAAAAATAAAAGTGTACCTGCAGAGCCCTTGAGCATTGATTAAGGTCCCAAGCCTTGAAATTCTTCCAAGCAACCCTTTCTCTGCTGCCCAACTCCCATAGCATGACATCACCCATGTTCGTTCCAACTGAAACAGTGAAACAACAAATGATACAATCTCCAAAAACCTGGTGAGTTTGCAAACAGTGCACACACACACACTGGTAAAGTTGGGAACGGTTGTTCCATATAGCCATTGAGGGAGCTTACCAAGAAGTAGAATTTGTTGGACTGGATGGAAATCCATGCTATTGGCAGCAGAACCTTGAGTTAAAGCCATGACAGTTTCCAGCATCTCACCACCTCCTCTTTCTTTTTCCTTGGCTGGTTTGCTGTTGATCTCCTAAATTGGAAAAATGTGAACAAGAAAAAAAATGCTGTTGTAGATGTAAGTATTTGCATATCTCAATAAGCTTTCAGCATTTGTATAAGTGATAAAGGCGATAGCATTGGTTTCTAGCAATTGGTATCCTAATATATTCACTGCTTTCTGTTCTTAGATCAATCGAGATCTCATTAAGAATCAAGAAATTTGGCGTAAAAAGGTCAAGGAAATTGAAGAGAGGTATGCTTTCCATCCCCTCCCTACCCTTCTCCTTTGGGGGCAGGGTTTGTTGATTTGATTCTCTCATCCTGATAATGATATTCCTGGATAAGATGGTCAGAATAAATATTTCTTCTTGTTTCTTTTATTCCTAACTTGCTTTTTGGTGGGGGAATAGGGATTTAGGGAACGGGAGGGTGTTGCAAATGTGATTTGTCCTCGAACTAGTATTACTCTGTGTTTTCATGTATATCTCTGACTTCATGCTGTAGAAGGTAGACTTTGTTTCCATTGGAATTGATTTATGCGGAGAAATCAACTTACCCGCATTAGTTTGTTTTGCTTCTGTGCATATGTTGGATGTACAACTTGCACTGAATCCTTGCATTCTTTTCCCTCTCTTCTCTATTTGATGAAAGAAAAATTGTTTTGCTTTTTTTTTTTTTTTTTTTTAAGGGAAACTTCATCTTTATCGTCAAGGGATGAGAGAATACTAGATCTGGAAGAACAGGTGATACAGTAAACTTCAAATTTTATCTAGTGATTGATTGAAAATACTGGTCTTACAATAGTTGAAATACCATTTGCAGATTCGAGATCTTACAGTCTACATAGAAGCACAGAAAACACTGGGTATCATGACAGGTACAGATGAGATTAAAGGAGGGACATTGTTACCTGTACCTCCGAAGCAGTCTTCGCCAGCCAATAACAGAAAACACACGAAACTGGGTCGCAAACGGAATTAGATATAGCCCCACTGTGTTATTTACTTGTATAAAGTTGATAAATGCTGCATCTTTCGTATTTGTATTTAACTTTGAAAAAATGTAGCCAAAAAAGCCGCCAGATAGGAAAATTGCTTTACTGTGAAATGAAATTCTGGGATCCTCATTTCTACTGCCTCCTGGTTCAGTTTCCTTGTCTTTCTAAGTAAAATCGTTTTATTCACTAGTATATACGCTAGCTTATAGATTAGTGATTGAACCAGTAACCATGTCAAAAAAGAAGTGTAGATCACTATGAAAATGGATATCCTGACTGTTACACGGATAAATTTCTTTCTTTTGACGTGAGGTTTTCCATCGAAAAAATATTTAAGAGTTTTTCATAGGGATGTCTTAGACGTGCTGCTTAGGTAGATGTAGACAGACGCTGTAATACAACAAGTGCTGCCTCTGCAAGGGGGTGCAGGGTGCTTGGAGAAAGCTTGTATGGGTTTGAAGGCTGAGTTTGGGCTTGGTCACATCAGCTAAGAGAGATGGCCCAAGGCAAAGAATCTCAACTAGTGATAGAATCAACCATGGAGAAGGGTCAGAGAATAAGAGATTCAGAAAAAAAAAATACATACTACTATTGAAAAGAAATACGAGTCAAAAGCCACTAATATTTCCTGCTCGGAACTAGAGAAAAAAATTGAAAAAAAAAAAATTAGATGACTATCCTTAGTCAGAACTTCACCTTCAGTTTTTCTTTACTTTTCCTTTTCTTTTTCTCTTGACATTTGACTTCTAAAACGTACAACCATAAACTCGTGCTTCTCCAATCATTTCTAACGAGGGGAACCGAGAACATCATGCCTCGGGAAGCAAAATGATTACACTGGATTGCAAGTATGCTAAACCTATAGTACCTAATTTCCACAGCTTCCCCTCGAAAATCACATTGTGGTGGGCCCAGGGAGCGGGACTGCATGGAAGGCATAGACAATAAAGCTCCTTGTTGAAAGTCATGCACATGACTACCTTTGAGGTTGTTCAGGACCAGCAGCACCAGAAGTTGTACTCGGGCCAGCACCGTTTTCAACTGGAGGCGAGGTCCCCCATTTACCTTCTGAGTCCGATGGCTCAAGCACATGAACTCCACCATCTGTCAGTCCTAATGCAAATTGATCGGGCTCGGTGGGATGTGCAGCAATGACAAGAGGATATACTCTTAAGCTGCTAAAATGACGTCATCAAACAGACCAAACAAGCAAAGATTATTAGAATGGTTGGAATCTTTAAAGAAGGGACATGAAACCAAAAGATAGGGGGTGAAAAATGCAGCAACCTTGGATTGGGAGGTAAATAAGCAGTAGAATTGATTCTGCATCTCAATCTGAGCGTTGAAGCAGTGAGAACACCCACGCTTCCATCTTCAAAGCTAACATATATAGACTGGCTATCACAGGAATATGTAGCATGCGTGATTGGACCACTTGCTTCTGGAGGGAACCACTGTATGAAGAGGATACAGTTTCATAGAAAGAAAATGTCAGAAGCTTTGAAGACAAAATTCCAAAAACTGGAATATATCAACAGATTTTTGCAAAACCATTTCACCATATGCATGCACATATATCATGTGATTAAAATCCATGTGACACACTTCACCACATGTGACAGAAATGAGAGAACCATTTATATGAAATAACAAATGAGGAGTGCAACTGTAATATTTGTAGAAACAAAGCCTACCGGCTTGAGGCATTCCAATTTCGGCGCTACATATATAGCTATCTGTGTTTCATGAACTGCAAGCAAATGTATCTGGTCAATGTGAAATTGAACACGAGTATCTGCAAGAGAAGGTGCAGGTCGTCCACTTGGAATTTGCAAGAGTTTACTAGTTTGCTTCTCCCATGCATCTGTGCTCCAAACACACAACTGTAGAGGGAAAACATTTGCAGAACTGAGTGACTAATTCCAACATCAAACACTTGATGAACATACGAGCTACTTTATATGAGGCAATTGGATGCACAAGCGGATAAAAGACAGCAGAATTCTATTACCTAGAAAACCACACAAGAAAAGCATTAGAAAGGTATGTGAAATCTAAAAATCCATGAATAAAAAGTTTCCAGATAAAGCTCAAATCACTGTCCCTAAAATGATCTCAAGTCCAACTGCCAAAATGGAAAAAACAAGTCAAGCCTTTCCTTGTAACTGTCATTTGCTAATCGGTCCTCCAGACTTCTCTGAAATCCGTTCCTTAAATCATAGGGCTTAATTGCTTAATCTATGGTAACACACAGAAACTGACTTACATTACCAATAATTCGTACCTGAGAGTCAGCTCCGGAAGACACCAGGACATTTAGCGAGTGTGAGAAGGCGAGGCCTGTAATTCTTTTCTGATGACCTTTTAACTTCGTTTTAACCTGTGAGATGGAACATTTCAAATTGTCTATCCTCATGCTATTCTACCTCCAATAAAAATTTAAAATTTTGAGGCATCAAAGCAGTACCTCATCAACCCTGACATTGTAAATTTGTATAGAAGAGTCCTCCATGCCAATAGCAATGATATTGTTGTCTTGAGGGTGAAATGCTAAAAACGTTGCAGCTGGTGGTGTGGCCATGAATGTTGTCATTGTCTGCAATCAAGAAAAATGGCCAATAAATATAACAAGGACATAACAAACTGCATAGCAAAACTAGAATTAAATGTGTTGAGAACATGTCTTCACTGAAAGGCCACCCAGACTCATCTGCAAACCGGTAACTAACCCTAAATATTTCTTCGTTCCACAATTTAATACGGAAATAAAAATTGCAATAACTTATCTGGTATATATCCTACCAAACATTTTAGTTTTCCAAAATGAAATATCATATATTATGTTACTAAAAAAAATGTTAAGGGTACAAATTCAATTGCAACAAGAATCATAAGGCCATTCATTGACAAAGTTCTTCATGTACCACAAAAAATTCAATCAAGCACAGCGAATTGAGCTTAAATAGAGAAAATAGTGATAGACCATTTACCTTAAATGTCATCATATTGAAAAGAGAAATTTTCCCTCCTGAAGCTGACATGACATAAGAATCATTCTTTGAAAGTGCAAAGCACGGAACAGCATCTTCAGGGTTCGTGTCACTAATCTCATTAGTCATCAAAATTCCGCTGGAAGGTTGCCATAATTGAGGCGGTACATTGGCAGTGGCCTAGAACAGGTAAAACCTTTGTTAAAGGCAAGGATTTTAAAATCAACAGAACAATATAGACATGCTGACTTCCAACATGGAAAATTAAGTAGCTTCAAAGCACAAACCTTCCCACACACAAAATAATAACAACAACAATAATTATACAATAAAAAATAAAAGAAGAAGAAGAAGAAAAGAAAATGTTGACAATAAAGATACCTTCCCAGCCAGATTTCGATCGTTTCTCTGCCACTTCCAAAGCTTGTGCACTGCATTAGATGCTAATGCCAAGATTGCTACTCCTGAATTTGTATAGATTAATCTAGACACCTGAAACAATTGTCACCAAACCCATATAGTTGCAACTTACAGGTCTTTTAACTTCAACGACATCACATACAAAACAATCTCAAATGCATAAAACTTCAGCTGCAAGAAAAGAAAAGGAAAAACTTTCAAACAACACAAGTTTAGAATTTCGGCTGCAAAAAACAACAATTAAACAATGAAAGTCAAAAAATTTGACCAACAGACAGATCCTCAAGCCTAGACCGTAGCTGCTAGTCTTTGACACCAAAACTACAAGTATTAACATGCCAAAAAGTGTACATCCTGCATAAAACAATATAACTATCCCATTGCATTTAATGTCTCCCGCAATAAGTGATATGAACTTGCAGGTCAATTCATTATGCCAGCCACAGTGACGCAATATAGTCAAATATACAGGCAGATCAGAAAGGGAAGAAAACGAGTGTATAGCAGGAAACAACCGTATTAAATTTTCAGCGGTATTATTGAGTACAATCATTTTTCTAAAATCAACATGACATGAATAAATAGCACACTAACATCCTTCTAATGACATTTGCTAAAAGAAGACCATACCCTCATGGCAGTCAAGCTATCAGGGAGCCTCAGGGAGCGGCACTGTGATGAATCATTTATTTCTGTTAATTTCCAGATCCTAGATTTTTCAACCGATTCATCTTGAATTTTAGGCTTCACGTCAACTAAACTTCGACTGTCACTACTCTGTAGAAACTCAAAACAGAAGGAAAATATCAAATCATTGAATGTGTAAATAAATCCTTTTGCATTGAGAAGCATAAATGGCTATAGCATAAATGAGATTACTCTGGCAGGACGGGTAACACCTACCATTCCAACCATGGGTGCTACAGGAGCAGCTTGATCATCGATGCTGGTTCCAACAGTGGCATTGGCAGGAGGAAAATTGCCCATTGTGGGGCCCTGCATACAAATCATGCATTAATATAGTTGCATGTGATGCGACACATTCAGATAATTACTTTCTAATTGCATAAATGTGTTAAAAGAATTTTCATGCCCGTAAAACTTTACCTTCACAACAGCAGCAGAAGCAGCTCTAGAAGCATCAAATGTACGACTCTCCACTGTTCGGAGCAGCCTCATCCCATCTGAATTTGCTAGAATTTTGATGCTATTGTCCTTTGTTGCGACAGCTAATAGTGTTCCTTCCTTGTTAAATCTAATACAAGGAGAAGCCTGCAAATTTATGATAACAGAGTTGTTAAATGTGAGCACACTAGTTAAAGATTTTAGAACTGCTCATTTCAGGTAGGAATTCAGAATTTAATTATGTTTTATTTTGGTTCCTTACCTTTAGTGGAACTATTGTTAAATTTTCCTGTTCCTACTGGATTTTGGTTTTTCTATCTTATGCTTGCTTACATTGCACATATGCATAGCATCTGAGTTGCTCTTTCAAGACAATTTGTGAATATTAGTTGCACTAAATAAATAGAGTTTCAGAAATGGGTTCTCTTGGGCTTTTAGATTTTGTTTACCACTTGATTGTACATCATAAGGGCTTAATCAGACAGATTTAACAAGAAAGAAAGGCCATTGCAACTTTACCGGCAATCCACCCTCTGCATCAATACTTGTCAATATGTTGACATTATCCATGTCCCAAAACTTGATCGTGAACTCATCCCCAGCTGCCAAGAATCGATTCTTAGTGGTATCAAACTTCACAACACCAGCAGAACGCTTTGCAAGACCATTATAGGCACGCTTCACAGCTCCTTCGCTTTCATTCCACTCCACCAAGTGTGATTCTCCTTCTTTGTTGGTCCCACATGAGAATAACCTGCAAGTTGTCCATAAAGATGAAATGAATAACTCGGTCAAGAGAAAACAGAACAAGAAAGATCAATCTCCCGTCACTGGCAGAAAACATAAATCTATAAAGAATGTACACAAACCTAGTTCCATCAGCACTGTATGCCATTGTGGTAGACGAATGCCCTGGAGCATCATAGTCAACTCTTGAACCCATGTGATCGTACAACCATGCCTTTATCTTTCCATCAGTTGCCGTTGAAAAGATAAACTAGGAGAAGGTACGAAAGAAATAAAATTAAAGAGTAAAAAGGATAAATACTTGGAAAATTGAAGAGTAACATCTCTCTCCCTCTCTTAATACTCTTTAGCCTCACTTTATTCTCTCAAAAATAATTTTACCATCTCTATGCTTCTACAATATCCAACTCCCCCTTTCTCTCCAATCTCCCTTTTCAGTGTTCTTTTGTTTTTGTGTCAAACAGTTTCTGTGTGGGAAGTTCCCAGAATATTTCATTTTCTGTCTCTGTTTTTACACATCTGCCATTTAAAATTGATTTCGAAAATCTGTATCAAATTTTACAATTTGATTCAGATCTCAATTCAAAAAATTAGGATTTAAACTAGCACTGAGTCTCCATGGGCCAACTGCTTACGAAACCGATTGCTAATTTTGTTTTGGCATTTATCAAACAGAAATGAGTAAGAACTGGGGATGGAGAGGGCTCAATTAACATCCTATTTATTACCTGAATATTTTCCTTGTGATGTGGGCACACAGAATATACAGGTGCATCATGACCTTGAAAATTGAACAGTCTAGTCCCCACAACTGCATCCCAAACCTGCAGAATCTCAATCTCTTAGAAAGCCCTTTTGCTTGCATGTAGATGCATTATATAGAGATGCAGGAAAACATACCCTGATGGTCCTGTCATCGCCACAAGTGACAACAGCAAGTTGTTTGTTTGGGTAAGAGAAAGCAAGATCATTGACATTCCCATTATGAGCATCGATCTAAAACACAAGGAAAAATTCACACAAGTTTCAGTATGTCACCACAGGATTACAACATAACAAATGAATACACCAAGGTTTCTTTTTTTATTTTTTTGGGAAAAAAAATCCATGCGTTGAAGATCGATTTATTAGCTGGAAAGACACTGAGCTTCAATGACATCAACTACTGGCACAAACCTCAAGGTGATTTCTTATGTCATCACCGCCATGGTAGGAGTATACGTGCATAATGTGCTTGGAGTATGCAACACCTAGAAGGAAGAAAAAAAGTAATATATCTGGTAAGTTTCCTGGTTTTTTATTCAGAAAAATGTTTGTCTTTCATGCAGAACAGGCTAAAAAGATGGAATTTTAACATACCAAATAAATTTCCATCAGGACTCCACGCCACACGGTTAACAGATGCTGCATAATCATTGGACAGAGATGCCTACACAATAATCAGTCGATTAACCTTAATCTGATAATATAACAGCTCCAGAAAGTATCATAATTACTTCATTCCATTAAACTTGTTGAAAAATAAAAGTGTACCTGCAGAGCCCTTGAGCGTTGATTAAGGTCCCAAACCTTGAAATTCCTCTGAGCAACCATTTCTCTGCTGCCCAACTCCCATAGCATGACATCACCCATGTTCGTTCCAACTGAAACAGTGAAACAACAAATGATACAATCTCCAAAAACCTGGTGAATTTGCAAACAGTGCGCACACACACACTGGTAAAGTTGGGAACAGTTGTTCCATATAGCCATTGAGGGAGCTTACCGAGAAGTAGAATTTGGTGGACTGGATGGAAATCCATGCTCTTGGCAGCAGAACTTTGAGTTAAAGCCATGACAGGATTCTTGGGCAAATCATCAGAAGAGTAAGAGCTTTGTCCATGGTTCTGGCTCGGATAAGCAATGGGCAGAACATTTACTGGCAGATTATTGACCTGCTAAATATCCAGTAGAGAAGAAGAATTAGGATAGTTAACAATTTAAAATTTTTTATTCAGCCAAATCCTAGGCTCTAAAATGAGAATGATCCCATTAAATTTATTGGAATGTACAAATACATGCACATAAACCCAAGTTCTCCAAGAGCAAATACCAAACAGTTTTGATCTATATCTGCATCCTCCTAAACCATCCACCTATAATCTGACATAAACGTAGGACCACCCACATTGGCATCTCAAAAATCATGCTAAAACATATTTCCAAAATTCATAATAGCAAAAGGTATCAAAGATCGCATTAAGGCAAAAATGCAGCATGGAAATGTAAAGTAGATGGCCAAAACAAAATTCAGTCTATACCTCATCTGATAATCCAAATGGTCTTGATCTCTTCAAAACATGTTCAGAATCAGCTGTTTGATAGTCAATAGCTGAGTTATTGGTAGGGGGAGTCCTAGGACGTTTTAGGAGTGCTGCTACAATTGAGATGCAAAGAACAAGTAGAGGCAAATTAGCGCACACGAAACCACATAAATTAAATGGAAAAGTAGAGTATAGAAAGATTGAATCACCAATCAAATCCTCTGCTATAAAATATTAAAGGACAATCTTTTAACAAAATAATGCCAAATGAAATACTCAATACTTCTGTTGAGCTTATAATACCCTAATAGAATAATTGCATATTCACTATGTGAGTGTGTGTGTGTGTGTGTGTGTGTGCGCACGCATAAAAAGCAAACAATAAGATCTCTAAACATTCTCCTTCGCTAGGGTAATGGTTGGATAAATGTAGGTAACTATCAAATAAAGATATGGCCTTCGAGCAGGACCAAGCTAAATAGCCCTTAGTAATGCATTTCCTCTTTTAAATAAGACCACGATATCATAAGCGATATTATTATTATAGCTAAGACTTTTTTCTTGTGTTTGTGCATAATGTTTTTTAATAGATTCCAAGAATGTTTGTCAAACACAGTAAGAACATTAAAAGTGATCAAAAGCAGCTGGTTCAAATGTCTTAAGTAGTCTACCTGCATTATTAGGAGCAGCCAAACCTATGGGCCCAGCAGAAGCAGATGGGTGAGGGACAGCAGATGGATTCGCCATCCATCCTGCAAGAGAAGATGGAATAGCAGGTGTGGGCTGAAATGGCTGCAAGTATGCATATCGTGAGTCAGATAAGTTCAAAATTCAAAAGCAGCGTCAATAAACAAGGGTAACTCCTTTCAAATTTGTCACTCACTCCATGACCAGTTATTGGAGGAAAACCCCCAGCCTTAGGCACAGCACCCATTAAGGAATTAGTGACAGGAGATGGGGCCCGCGCACCATTTGGTTGTCCACAACTGTGGTCAACAAATAAAGTCTTTATGTCAGGATTAGGCCTTGGATTCTTACAAAGTTGATGTTGCCAATTTAAACTGCAATTCAATGGCAAGGAAGTGAGTGACAAAAAAACAACTTCAATCCAAAGCAATAACTTAAAGTCCAAGCACAGAGGTAAGACAAGATATTCTCGACGACCTCTGATTTATTAAAGTCCGCAATCTTGAATTCTTCAAAGTAGGAAACTGAAGCTTGTCGCGGAAAAGAGGGTTAGCCTCTATCAACTTTTTGAGTTCACCAAGCATTATACCCCTAGCAGACTTAGTATCTCCATATTTGGATAGCTGTTCATTATCTCTGCAAATTGAAGTAAACAAACACAGAAAATCAGAATATCATCGATACAAAAATTAGGCACAAATAGAACAAGCCTAACTGTATAAAAAAAAGTAACACTAAGTACCTAAAGTTTTCCAACGTTAGTAGCTGCGTAATTTCTTTAAAAAGCTCTTCGTTAAATGCTGCAAACACTTTCAAGTCCTTCACTAAGATTTCCACTGCCTTTGCACGATCTCGCCTACATTTTTCATTCACACAAAAATTAACCAATGCATCAAAGTAAAAAATCACTACACAGACTCCGTCAGTGTACACCATGCCAATCAAATTAACCACAACAGTGGTCCCCACTACTACCACTGATTAGCGTAGTTGGCCCATGTAAACAATTAGTTCAGTCTACGTCACGATTACTCGAATCAAAATCATAACGCCCGAGAGGAAATGTACAGGAAAAAAAATCCGAATTAATTAACAATACAGAAAAAGCAAGCACGTACTTGTCCAAAGCTTCAAGGTACTTTTGCTTCCGAATCTCGAAGAAAATCTTCATTGAATATCTATTATCATCAACTTTCGTAAACCCTGACAAATACTTCTCCACTTCATCCCACTCTCCATTTGTCACCATTTCCTCAAAATACCTCATGTTAAAGTAAAATCCTGACTCTTGCTCCAATCTCCATGCATAAAAATTGTTTGAAAAAAAAAGCCTTAACAAAACAAATTCTCACAAAATCCAAATCACAATTTAAGAAATAAACCACACAAAAAAAAAAGCGTAAAATTACGTACCTGTGAACAGTCTCTTTGAATTTCTCTTCCTCGAGAAATTGAAGTATGAGAAACACAAGTTCTCTACTGAGCGAAGACATAGTTACAATTCTTCCAAAAAAAAAAACACTCCTTTAATCTGCAACAACCAAGAAAATAATCAAGAATTAACTAACTCATAAAGAGATCTAAAACCTCACAAGAATTAAAAACTAAATATTCAGAAATCAAACATCAGAAAAAAAAATTACGTAAATTTCCAAAATTCAGAAACAAAGTAACAAACTTTCATACCTTTTTCCAGATCGGAGAAGAAATCTTGTTGAGAGAGAGAACGTACGATACGTCGTTTCGCAGCTTTCTTGGATTTTCTCTCTCTGGTTGAAGTTGTTGAAATTTGTGGTTTCTCTCTCTATGAACTCTACTGGTATTTATAGAGAGAGAATGGGTTAGGGATTTGAGAGGGAGGTATCAGACAAATTAAATACCCGTGAGAGGAGATGAGATGAGATAATTGTACTGATAAGTTCTGTGATAAGTGAGTGATAATTCCGCGTACTTATACCACTGATATGTGCCCTGGCCTTTCATATGTTTTATAAGTCCATTGTCTTATCAGGCGTTATTAATACGCTGAATTTGGACGTATTTACGCCAGATTTTGCGGGGATTTCTATGTATAACCACTGTGTTTATATTCAGTGCTTTATTTACAAGTTTGCCATCCAACGTAACATATCGGAATATTATTTCATTTAAAATAAATTGTTAAAACTATCTGTTCAGATATGAATAATTTGCTTAAAATTTACAGAATAATTTTTTTCTTGCTATATAAAAGTTAATTGGAGGATGCTCAAAAATCAAAAGATAATGCTATTAATACTTAAATTCTTATTAATATTGTTTTATTAAATGATACAGTGGCATATGATTGATGATTTATTAGTTAATACCTTCTATAATCATCATTACATCACTAAATACGATAAGATTTATCTTTCATAATTTGAAAATATTTCTTTATAACAAATACAACATCACTTGGCAAAAAATATTTAAAAAAGACTCAAGTACCCTTACTGTTGTCCAATAAAGAATTATAATAAAAATATCTAGTCCTTACAAAATAATTAATTTTCTCTAGAAGGAAGAAGTGGATTTTCAAAAAATCTCTTGCCCTGCAACCTTCTCTTGAGTTGGAAACTAAAATGCCAATATAGATTCACTTACCATAGATGTTAGATTTGCAAAATTTTAATGTCTTTTTTTAGTCAAAGTACACGTCACTAGTTATTTGTTAAATTAATTATTCTTTTTATACACACAAAAATTATCATGTTTTATTTTTTATATATTAAAAAAAAATCGTTAGTTATTATGTTATATCGTTTTTTTTTCACAATTCGCCAACATATCTTTATTTTTATTGTAGATCTCTTACTAAACAAACTTGTCATGTATCCAAAATATGAATTATGTATTTTCATAAAAACAATTATTTTGGGACATATAAAAAATAAAAGGTAACTCTGAAATAGAAAAAGCAACGAGTAAATTTGAATATATTATTACATATATTATTTTTACATGATATATCCATAAAGATAGATCCAAAAAATGTGCTAATATACTAATACAATAGCGTGTTGGTTTAGTCTTAGGTGACAATTTTTTTCATGGATGATTGGTGACAACAACTTGATAAGGCCCCTGTCCTTATCCTTTCACGAATTCTCTCTTTTCCTGTTGGTTGGGGGCAATTTTGCAAATTCCACAGATATTTTGTCTTCAAGCTTCCTTTTTAGGTATTGTTGGAAAAATTTTATAATACACAAAAATGAACTCAATGGCATGTACGATAGATTACTTCGTATCTACTTTGAGGAGAGAGATAGACACGTAAAAAAAATTACATCTATACTCATTAAAAGTGATAAGAAGATTTTCACGTCTTTTCAAATTTTTTTATTTTCTCTCTCTCTTTGTGTGTCAATCTCTCTCCTCAAAGTGGGCTCACGAGTAACTACTGTATATGTCACTAATTACTCTTTGTGTATTATAAAATTTATCGGTATTGTTGGTATAAAAAAACCCATTTTATATTTTTCTTAGCTGTCATGCCAAATTATACATTTACCACCAGATACCAATGATGTTTTTTGCATCTATCCTTGAATGTAATCCTGTTTACACGTCCAATTATAACAATGATGGTAAGAATTTGGTGAGCATTCTTTCTTTTGGTTTCTCCATAACTTGGCAAGGTTATGGTCATTTTTCATGTATAAAAAGTTGGTCCTCATGTATAAAAGTTTTGGTGGAAAGAAATTTAATTACAATCCCTTTCAAAAAGAGGCACTAATTTACCAACTTTTAACAGTCACTTTCTTTTATTTTGGTGCGTCAGTAAATATTGCTATTTTAGGTCCCAATTGTGGGCAATGTCATTGCACAATTTATTCAGTGGTGTTGGTGAACCAACCAAAGTGACAATGAATAGTGATGAGGAAAGCGAAGTTTGTCTAATGAATTGAATTAAGTTTGTCTTTTGGAAAAAAAAAAAAAAAAAATCTCGTGACACACGCGCTTGAAGATAAGGTTTTGACAGCAACCAAGCAACATGAATGTGACTACGTCGTTTTCTACTTTAGAGACAAATAACGCTTAGCCACAAACCTTATATATGATGAAAACATGTTTGCATATTAGATTGAACACTCAATTTGCGTGCTTGATGGGGGAGTTGGACATAGTTTAAAGATGTATCTGGTACGCTAAATAAGATTGGATTCAATATGATAGAATAAATTATACAATATTTGATATATTTATTGGATAGAACAAAATAAATTATATCGTGTTTGGTACACGCTTTAAATACGATAATTTAAAAATTTTTTAAAAATAAAACTATTATTCCGCAATGGAAGAACAAGCTTGTCTAATACCATAAAAATAGTTATTTCTTAATTCTTTATATTATTTATCACTCATTTATTTTTCAATTTGATTGACTAAAATTTGATCAGATTTATCTATGTTTTGTTAAAATCAATTATCACATGTAGGTAAAAATCATTATTTCTTAATTTTTTATATTATTTATCACTCATTTATTTTTCAATTTGATCGGCTAAGATTTGACTAAATTTATCTATATTTTATTAAAATTGATTGTTATATGTAGGGGCTTAATTGCAAAAAAAAAAAAGGAATTAATTACATATACTGAAAAACTAGAGGACCAAAAATAATTTCATTAAGGACTAAAGTGTCGTGAAAATAAAATATAGGGACTAAAATAAATTGTTGAAAAAATTTCAAGAGCGGAAATGAATTTGTACACAAACTTCATCCATTCTCGTCTTCTCTAGCTTACCAAATACGAAACAAAAATATACATGTACGATCGAGTCCAGTCTAATCTATTAAATTATAAATTAAAGAGATTAAGAACCAAATCTTTTTCAACGATTACGATTTTTTTAATTTTGGTTAACTGGTTTTTAGTGGATAGGATTGCGTGTACACAAGCTTAATCGGTTGTGAGCTTGTACGCACACTAGAGGTAATGGTTCAACAATTTCAACCATCATCTCCACCATTTTCTGTGCATTGCATGTATAATCAAGCCGAACAATCTTCGGAATCGATACCCAGATGTCAATTAAACAAATACATATAAGATAAAAATAACTACATCATTAACATAATTATAGAAAAAATAGTTGAAATGTCAGTTTTTTATCCCGATAAATAAACATGTTTCTCTTAAATATATATTGTTTTTCAATTACCGTTTAATTGATGGCGTTAGAGAGATGAAATTTTACAATATTCAAAAAGTAACTAATATAAATATACCGTTGTTACTTCATTATGAGAGAGATAAACACATAAAAAAAAATCACATTTAAATCTATAAACAATGATAAGAAGATTTCTACCTTAACTCAATTTTTTTTTTAGCTTTCCCTCTCCTATTTCTCTCTCTTTTTATGTCTATATCTTTTTTATGAAATAACTTAAATTAATTACTTATTTTTTCAAATATTAAGCATAAAACAATATGAAAATGTGTAAATTAAACAAGTTTCAAGTCTAAATATTTGGATTTTTATTTGAAGAAATGTGTTAAAAAGTAATATAAATTATATCTTAAACCCTCACCTAACAATTTAAATTTTTTGATGAGATAGTTTTTTTACAAATAGATTTTCCAACTCAATTACAAGACATTTTTTTTTTAACTCACACACCCAAAACTCTATAATAAAACTAATCTATTAGGATTTAAACTCATAATTTTTTCTTATAAAAGATCATTATCATTAGATTATAAGCTTTTGATAATTGTAAAATATTTTGAGAATAGCCTCGTGGTTGGAAAAAAAAAAAAAAAAAACTGAAATGGATACATGATTTCACTTAACATCTCTCTCTCAGCTTAAGTCAGCCCGACTGGATGAGGTATCTAACTTCGCCGACTTGCCTCTTCATTAATAAAGGAGGGGGGAAAAACCTGCCTTAACTACATATTTTGAGTCTTTGACACCCATGTCCTTCTTATCCTACCTAACAATACTGCTATTACCACGTAAATAATTAAGTTTCTAGAAGCAGTGTCATCGTACTGTTTCTTATAAAATTAATGGCACGCCATTACTGGTGCATGCGTCAATCAAGAATTTTATGGAAATGTTTCTTTCTGGCGAATGCTCCAAAAGCTTAATCGAGCCATTCTCGTGCTTACAACTTGAACTTAGCTGCTAAGTTTTCTACTTGTTCGTTTTTTTTCTCATAAGCTATGGGATTGGTTTCTTGGTTCGTTATTAGGTTTTCAGTGACGTGATGTGAGATAAGTCTTTCTATTTCCTTGGATTTGATGCTAATGTTTTGAACTTAGCTCGTAATTTTGTTTATTAAATTATTATTTCGAGTTGAATTTAAAATAAGGTTGAAAAATAGATTTTTTTTTCGTGAATACACTAATCTAATTATAAATTATAAGCTTGAGACTGAAATAAAAAGCAATTTTGTTTAAATACAAAAAAAAAAAAAAAAACTAGTTTAAAAATATTGTTATTTTATGCTGAATTTAAATTACGGTTGAAAAATAGAAATTTCTTGTGAATATACTGATCCAATTATAAATCATCAGTTCAAGACCCAAAAAAATAAAAAGCAATTTAGTCTAAATATAAATAGAACAAGTGCAAAAATATCGTTAGCCTTAAACCTAGAAAAAAAAACAAGAGGAAAAGAGATGAACAAAAAATAAAATCCCTCTTTCATAGTTGAAGAAGATGATAAATGAGTTATTTTGAGTTTTAAATCAAATATTTTGTTATTTTTTACGTTCAAACCAACTAAAATACTTATATACACAATATTATACAGAAAATGATCGTGAGTAGTAAGTTTCATGGACATATAAGTCACGGTCAAAATACATGATTAAAAAAAAAGTCAAACGGGACATGATCTCTCTCCCTCTTTGAAACCTCTTTTTTATTCTCTCCCCTCTCTTCTATATTCAGTGAGTCTTTTTTTCTTCGTAATTTTTTTTATTTTTAATATAGTATCAAGTCATATGCATAACTTTTATGTTAATTTGAATCATAAATAAATAAATAACTCAATAATTTTATAAAAATATAAAAAAAATTAAAAATTTATCTTATTATATAACCACATATTAGATAATTTATTTCTTCATAAGTGTGTGCAAAATGTCAAGATATATGATATTATTTTCAACGAAAGGTGACTCGAGAGGTAAACACGGAAACTAGGGGAAAAAAAAATTCTGTCTGCATCATCTGCCTAAGAGCTTGATGAGTACGCAACTCTTTCTGCCTAAAATAATAAAAGCTAGTTGTAATTTGCTTGTCGAAGCATGCTTGTCCCAAGTCCCAACGTGTCTATGATTTTAGCACTTCCTAGCTTTGAATTGACCCCCTGAATATTTTATCAAATGATCTTAAAATGTTCAAAATATTTTATGTCAATAAAACATTAGCAGATCACATGCATTAATACCTCCATACAATATTAATATAAATTGTTTGACCAGTTGATAATTTTCATATGTGCTTAATGCTGATCAGGTGGCCTGATAAATTTTACAGAGCTTTTGTCATCCCCACAAATATTTCTAAAGAGAGTATATTTTTAGATTAAAATCTTTTGTATTCTACCAACAAGTTAATCCAATAATAAACGAGTTGGTGTTGAAACGAATTTTTTAATAGTATACAAGATTTGAATTTTATAATTACACTTGTTAAAAAAAAGTTAAATTTTATCATTTCTATTTTAAATATAATTCTATTTTCAATATGGAAGGAGAATACATGAATATATATATATAATCTTTTGTATTCTTGAAAACATGATAGATCATCTTAGTTAAATCTAAAATATTATATTGAAATCAATAGCTTGATTTCATCCTCACAAATAGTTCAAAATAGAATATATTTTTATATTAAAATCTTTTGTATTCCACCAATAAGGTAATCCAATAATAAATGAGTTGATGTTCAGATGAATTTTTTAGTAATATGTAAGATTTGAATTTTATAATCACACTTGTTGAAAAAAGTTAATTTTATCTTTCTTGCTTTGAATATAATTCTATTTTCAATATGGAATGAGAATAAATGAAAAAAATATATAATTTTTTTTTTTTTTTTTTGTATTCTTGAAAACATGATAGATCATTTTTGTTATATTTAAAATATCATATCGAAATCAACAGCTTGATTTTGTCTTAAAATCAAATAATTATACAAGAATATGTTTTAGTGGATATATATTATATATTCATATGCCAGAATGGAAATTCTAACAACGGATTTGAATTTAGTAACATGAATTTTCAAAACATAAATATAAATATTATATCCTAAAAACATTTTAAAAAAGAAAAAAAAAACGTGCTGCCCGTTCAAGCTGTGTGAAGTTTAAATCTAAGGCTTTTTGTTTCTTGGCCTGCTACTTTTCTTGGCATGATTCCAACACAGGGCATTTTCGTTTACCTTTTGACCAAGTAAGTCCCTCGCCCCTCTTTTGGAATTATTTAGTGGAGGTGTATCCGTGTAATTTGACCTCTCAAAGTTAATTGTAGGTATTCGTATCTAGTATTATTTAGATATTATTATTATTATCATAAAGCAATATTCCTAAGGTGGCAGGATGATTGATATGACTGAAGTTGATTGCAATTTTTTAGGTCTAAATATAACTGAAACCATAATTTTTTTAGCACCACCGTATAAAAAAAACTTACCCTTTTAAACAAAATAAAAAAAAATACCTGAATTTTTATCAATAAGTTATTATTTCAATGATAAGAGAATTAGTATACAGAAAAATTTTCTGCTATATACAAGATTCGAATCCTAAAATTATATTTATTAAAAATAATTATTTTTTATTTTTTTATTTTAAAAATTAATTAGTTTTATTTCTAATATGACATGAAAATAACTAGAAAAAAAATACCTATTGCGCTTTTTTTCTCTCATAAATAGACCATGCAGCTTATAATGAGAGGATTAATGCTATTAGTTCATAGGATAAAAAAGACGAATTGTATTATCACGATGAATTGAATTAATTATTGTAATAAATATGATGATATAATTTAATTTTTTTTAGCAAGGTATTTTTAAGTAAAAATAAAAAATTTGAACCGTGACATTTTATACATATAAAAAACTCACTACTGACCGTATCATAAAACCTAATAATTACGGTATGATTTACGAAGTATAATAACTTAAAAGATGATTATATAATATTTGGCCTATCATAGGAGTTCAAGCAATCCATATTAAAACGAGTCCAACGTTAAATTTTTAATCTTTTGTTCCTCAATTATGCTTATCCCCGCCTGTATCAAACATCAAACGACGAAGTCAATATCAACAATATTATTATTATTATTATTATGATTTACTGGCAAGGGATATTTTTTAGACAATAAAGATATATTTTCTACGTCCATCTAATGCATTTAAGATTTAATAAATTTTTATAAGTTCTGACTATAATATTAAAAAAAAACCTTTTCAATCATGGGACCACGTCATTAAATATTACCCCTTTTGGTTTTGGGTAGAAAAGAGTATTTAAATTATTCTTCAGAAAAAGGAAAAGTATACAATTGGTTATGTAATAAATGAGTTGAATTTTATACAATATTTGTCAGGAGATGTTATATTTTATATAAGTTTTATGTAAATATATAGAGTGTGAATATTAAAATTATATTTACGTAGAAATATTTTATTTTATTTTCTATTCTGAATATAATTAATTATAGTTTCAATCTTAATGGAAACTCGGAGGAAACAAATAAAAAAATATATTTATCGTTTGGACCGAACAAAGTCAAATTCCATCTAAAAGTTGCTATCATGACACGCAACTCGCAGTGACTAAACTGGCGAGTGTAATTTACTTACACACTCGAGCAAGTAGAGATCTGCAAAGCAAATAGTACTCTTTTTTTAACAACAATTATGGACTTATTTATATGCTTATGAAAGACGTCTAATAAATGGATAAAGTGAGTGAGTCATGCACGAAAAGTCATTTTACGACAAATTGTAATTTATCGTACATATCACGAAATGTATTTTTGAAACAAAAATCATTTTTATCGTTTTCAACAACAAAGAAAGAAAAAAAGAAAAATCAACCACACGTCAATTCGGAGTGACGCAAGACAATTTAAACGGTTGTAATCAGATGGTTTTGTATTTATCTAGAAAGAAAAGAGGGGGAGAGATGGGTGTTGGTCACATGCAGACGCTCCCTTCGTAGTTATTGTGTGGCCATCTTGGGAGCTTCCAATGTTGAGAAAATTAATTAGATGGGAAGTCATTGTCTCATTATGTGAGCTTTGAAATCATATTTTCTTTCTTCTTCTTTTTCTTTATTACGACAAAGAATTCCACTTTGTTTTATGGTCGTGTACAAAGGTTCTTGAACACTAAATTGTTTTGTTCTCTATTTTTCCTAGTCTTTAAATTTCCATGCAAAGGCATGACTAAAAAAAGCTATCCTAGTAATTAAACTTTTATTTATATATTTTTTTAAAGTTTTACTAGGTATTTCCATACTACATTAAAAATATAATTAATTTAATTCGAAACGAAAAATGTGAGATTTAATTATTCTAAAAAAAATAAAATTCTAATATTCGAATCTTGTACATTAATAAAAAAAAAATTGTCCGAAAACTAATTCGCTTACCACCAAACTAATAAATTATTGATTTTAATTTATAAATTTAATTAATAAATAATATATTTTTAGTAATGAAAATTAAGTCAACTTCGAAACTAAAACGGTAGAATATTAATACTTGTTAATTTTTTATTTTTTTATCATAGATAACTTATTTTTGACTGAATTTGAATTTGAAAAATAATTTTAGCACATACAAAAATGGTTTTGAATACCATGTTTGACCATAAAAGAATCTTATGGATGTCAACCACCAACAAATTTGTAGGGTGTCTTTTCTTAATCATCTTGGCCGACTAAATATAGAATATTTGTTATTTAGAAAAATTCCACGTAAGGAATTTTTCTAAAATAAACACCAAGAACACGCAATAAGAAGGCATTGAATTTTAAAATTCAAATATTCCCTTACACCTAGCTACTCATGGATAATTAGCATGTGGATACTTTAGAAAAACCAATTTTGTGGTTTACATAGCTTATCTTCACTGTATTTCATTGGACAACTGAAATTAGAAATTGGAATTTCTTCAAAATCCTAACTGGCTATGAAGTGGCTGTGGCAGCACTCATCGTGGAGGTTGTCAATTTTTCCACGTAGAGGACCTTGCGTTGAAAACTTGAGGAGAAGACTGGGCTCGTGGTTTCATGGCAATCTGTCGAGCCTGAGACGTTAAAACCCATCTAATTACTACTGCTAGTCTCGTTTCTCTTTTGAAACTTGAATCCAGAAAAGGTTTTTTTTTTCTTGGATAAGATCTTGATACTATTATTTGTCAACATTTTCATGTCATGTTATAGAGATACCGGTCCTCGAAGATAGAGCCGCCCACCAAGGAACTAGTGGGATTTTTATAACTACAAGATTTCACCCTTAATATATATATATAAGTGAAGTCTAGGATTAGGATTTAGTGGACAAATACCTATTGTATGATCCAAGACGGCCATGATTAATTGGATCTATATCCCTTCTTATTAAAGTTTCTTTCTTAATTCAATTTTTCAAAAAAAATCTATCGGTTTATAAATTAATTAATGACATGTATTAGTTTGTTTTTAGTCGGTTAGTCGGTTGAATTAATTAGTTAAGTGTTGGTTTAGTATTAGTCCAATATAAACACAACTTGTATTTTTATAGAAATAGTTGAATGAAGCAAGTTTAACAAATTTTCTTCTCTCTCTACTTAACCAATTTTTCTTCTTACTCGTCGATGTTCCTTCTCTTCGTTCAACCTTAGAAATCAATATAGTATCAAAGCTTGAATCATTCTAGGGTTTGTAGCTCTATTGATTTCATTTCATTTCTCTTCTCTCTAATTCGTCGATTTCATTCTTCCTTTTCTTCAAAACTATTACTCTAATCTTTCTATGTTTCACCATGATCGTTGAATTAACTTTATCTCCCGATGATATTCATTCTTTATACTTCATTCACCATTTAGATCATCATGTTTCTCTTATAGTTACTCCTAAGCTAACCACAGAGAACTATGCTACTTGGAGTAGGTCGTTTGCTCTTACTCTTTCAATTCGCAACAAGGTATGTTTTGTTGATGGATCTATTCTAAAACTTAGAGATGATGATTTGCTTATTGATTCTTGGAATCGATGCAACAATCTCATAAGTAGCTTGATTGTTAATATCCATGTCACCTTCTATAGCTGCAACGGTGTTCTATTATGAACTCGGCTTTAAAGATTTGAGAAATTTTGAAAAATAGATTTTCTCAACCGGATGAATCTAGAATTTGTAATTTACAATGGTCTTTATGTTCAATTACATAAGGTGCTAGATATGTCAATGCGTATTTTACTAAACTAAGTGGATTACGAGAAGAATTAAGGAATTTTAGACCTCTACCTCGCTATAGTTGTAGAGCATGCAATGTTGATTATTTTGAGAAATTTATAGATATTTATGAGAAAGACTATGTGTTCAAGTTTTTCAATGAATTAAATGAATCTTTTTCTTCTCCGAAATCTCAAGTTTTGGTTATGAAGCCATTTTTTGGTTTAGATAAAGTATATAGCCTAGCTATGAGGGAAAAGTCTCAAAGATCAAGTATACATCTTACAACAACCTTTTAGTGAATGTTCCGCCATGACTACTTTTTATGGTAATAAAAGGAGGTCAAATATTTCTTGCCCATATTATGAAAAGATAGGCAATAGCAAAGACAAGTGTTATAGGCTTTCCTGTAGATTTTAAGTTTATGAGGAATAATAATTTCAATAGAAGTTTTCGGGGACTTACTACTTTGAATTCTGGTTATGGTCATAGCTATGGTAATTCTTCATGTCATATCAATAATGTTGTATCAAAACAAGAAGAATCTCGCTCATAGTGTTGCTCCGTCGGGATATGTCACACTTCCCGTATTGCTTTCGCTCGAGAGCAAATTACTGTGCTCATGAATCTTTTGAATGCTCAAGATTTTAAAGCTTTAGCTTTACGAGTCTTCAAATCATATCAACTCTTCTATTATCACTCGTCCATAACCTATTTCTATTCTTTCAAGTAGAATTTCTATTATGTCTACTCATTCACAAGGCATTGCATTTCTATTTAACACTTACACCTAGATAATTGATATAGGTGCAGCTGATCATATATCTTGCTCTATTTACCATTTTACTTCCTATAAACCTATTACCAACATGATAGTCTAAATGCCAAATGGTTACAAAGCAATTGCCACTCATATTGGTCAATTTGTTTTGCCTTATTCTTTTGTCTTGCATGAAGTCCTCCGTGTTTCTTCTTTTAAGTTTAATCTCATTTTCATTAGCAAACTCACTGCTAATTCTCAATATAAACTAATCTTCATTAGCAATTCTTTCATGATTAAATAGGATAACTCTTTAGAGATAATGATTAGAATTGTAAATCTTTATGTAACAATCTCATAATGACTTAGTTGTTAAGATCCATATCACATTTTATAGCTACGAAGTATTCTATATGAACTTAGCTTTGAAGATTTAGGATTTTTTAAAGAAAAGATTTTCTCAATCGGATGAATCTAGAATATGCAATTTATAATGATTTTTATGTTCAATCACACAAAGTACTAGATCCGTTAATGTGTATCTTACTAAACTAAGTGGACTACGATAAGAGTTAAGGAATTTTAGACCTTTATCTCACCGTAGTTGTGAGCGTGCAATATTGATTGTTTTGAAAAATTTACGTACATTTATGAGAAATACTATGTGTTCAAGTTTCTTAATGGATCAAATGAATCTTTTTCTTATCCGAAATCTTAAGTTTTAGTTATGAAGCCATTTTTTTATTTAGAAGAAGCACATAACTTGGCTATAAGGAAAGAGTCTCAAAGATTAGTACACATACTGCAAGCAACCTTTTAGTGAATTTTTTATTTTTATTTTTATTTTATTTATTTATTTATTATTTTTTTTGCAATACAGGGAGATCAAAGATTTCTTGTTTATATTGTGGAAAGATAGGTCATAACAAAGACAAATGCTATAGACTTATAGGCTTTCCTACAGATTTCAAGTTTATAAGGAATAATAATTTCAATGAAAGTTTTTCTAAACTTACTACTTCGAATTCTAGTTCGGTCATAACCATGTTAAATTTTCTCCTCACATCAATAGTGTTGCATCCGTTCAAGAAGAATCAACTCATAGTGTTACTTCGTGTGGACGTGTCACGCTTCCTAGTATTGCCTTCACTCAAAAGCAAGTTACTGGGCTCATGAATTTTTTGAATGCTCAAGATTTTCAAGCCTCATCTTTACAATCTTCAAATCATATCAACTCTTCTACTATCACTCATCCATAGCCTATTTTCAGTCTTATAAGTAGAATTCTCATTATGTCTACTCATTCACAAAACACTATATTTTTATTTAATCCTTACATCTAGGTAATTGATACGAGTGTAATCGATCACATATCTTGCTCTATTTACCATTTTACTTTCTATAAACCTATTACCAACATGATAGCCCCAAATGGTCACAAAACAATTGCCACTCATATTGGTTAAATTGCTTTCTCTTCTTTTTCTAGTCTCGTATGAAGTCCTCTATGTTTTTTCTTTCAAGTTTAATCTTATTTTTGTTAGCAAACTCATTGTAAATTCTCAATATAAACTAATCTTCACCGATAATTCTTGTATGATTAGATAGAACAACTCTCCGGAGATAATGCTTGGAATTACAATCTTCCAATAAGATTGTTTTTATTTATGTCTATTTCGGATCGTCTCCTTTCATCTATCAAACACTCTCGTAATGTTCAAATAGACGAGTGCTAAATTTACAAATCCCTTGATCTATGATCTATGACATTATCGTTTAGGTTATGTATCGTATGATAGAATCAAATTGATTAGTCGGAGGAATATTAGTATTCAATGTAATAATCAAACTTATTTTGTTTATCCTTTAGCAAAACAAAAACATCTATCATTTTCTATTCATAATAAAAAAAACCACTTTTTTTCCTTTTAAATTGGTTCACATGGATATCGAAGGCCATATTCTATTGTTTCTCTTAGAGGTTTTTGTTATTTCTTAATTATGGTTGATGATTATACCAAGGTTACTTGGATTTCTTTACTCATACATAAATCAAATATCTTGTTTATCATTCTATCTTTTT